ATTATGTGTCATCATTATGGACATTGATTTATAGTCTTTCACAATTACCACTGAAAATTGATTACTGTAGTTCTTTTTATGTTCTATTTAATCTCTGTATATAAATATATTTTAGTTGTTCTAAAACAGGTACTTTAGTTGATAGAGCAAAGTCACGTCTACAGCTCTACTAATGCTTAACAATAGCTTGCGACGTGAGCGTGCTCCTTATCACTTCTACTTCAGCAGCATAACAGTGTTACAGTATTTATAGCTAGGTATTATTTAACTTACAGCAATCGTTTTACTAAACATATACATACTCGTATATTACATGAAAATCAATATAATCAAGTTAATTAAAGCTGCAATCTATACCTACATATAATAAAACCGTAGAGGTCGAATGTCGGTACATAGAAAAAAATTTGATAAAAACCGTGTCAGGGGGATGTAAGAAGAGAAATAGAACAAATCCAGGTTTTTTTCAAATAATTTGTTTCTCTGTCTGTTTGTGTGTACGGGCTAAGCTCCGAAACGGTTGGACCGATTTAAATGAAAATTTGCATTGTGGTACCTTATATCCTCGGACAACATTTTAGATACTTTTCATTTAAGAAAATTAAAGAGTTCTCGTGGGATAGTTAAAAAAGTACAGTAACTTATACAGCTTAGTACACAACAACTTATGCACCTAATTTAGTAAAATTTGGCATGCTGATACCTTATATTGCCGGTCAAACAATAGGTTACTTTTTATCCCGGAAAAATGAATAGTTCCAGTGGGATAGTAATAACTATAAACGTTTTCTTTTCTACGTTTTCTTTTAAACAATATTAGAACAAAATTTGATAAGAAAATAATGTTAGAAGCAACGTGAGTTGTAATATTTGGATCTTGCTAAAGCTTGTCATGATGTTCTTCAATATAACATTAAAATCATCAACATTTTATAAAACAGTCTTCTCGGCACTTGAGATTACTTAAATAGTCAACATTTTAGATAACAAGATATCTTCAGATATAAATTTACAGTATATTAAAATCTTAATGCATCAAACTGCTCTGCAAATTAACCATATTACTTCACACGCATCATCATATTGCATTATAATAATTATAATAAATTCTTTATTGACATAGTTTTACACATACACAGGTGATAAAGATAGCTAGGCCCCTGCGCTCGTTAAAAACTGTGTTGCGGGAGCCAGTGTCATCCCCATATAATTAATGACAGGTTTACATTATAGACATAAGCACACTAAATTACATAGAATGTAAATAGCTTAAAAATAGACGAATTTTAAATTACTTGATATGCATATCTAATTTATGTTGAACAATCCACAAAGACAATTACAGAGAGAGAGTTCATGATTGTCTATTAAATTCCTAGATAGATTTATAATTAAACGTTTGGACGGAAACGTGAATATTAATAGCCATCTGTTTGTTTGTAATATTCACTCATAATCGTAACATATATACGTATAATAACTGTATGAATGAATATATTCATAATTTGGTATCTTAAATATTTTGGCAAAACTGAATTATTGTACGTTAAATAGATTTTGAAAACGGACTTACATAAAAACTTTTTTCGACAGCTGTACTTAAAGTTGCCAACTATTAAACGTTTATGAATGGTTAACGCGTGTTACTGTCGATACATTTCAAAAATATTATAAGCAAAGCTAACAAATACTTAGAGGCAAACGGATAAATGTACAATAAGGATGTCTACATGAAGTGACATGCGTTAATGCGGTAAATTTTGATCCGGTACGCGTGACCATCGCGTGCGTGTGACAAGGAAAGGGACCACACCCGGTTTTTCACCTGTGCTTTACAAAATCGTCTAATAGTCTTAAAATACAAATAAATAATAGTTTCTATTCGAAATAATAATAATATAATATAGCGTAATGATTAATGTATCAACTATCTTTTATTATTGGATATGCGAGATATTTAAAAAATATTGCTTTTGGTATTTTTGTAATAATGTTCTGATCAATAATTAATCGAAAAATCAGCTCTTATAAAAATATTTTTAATTTCTTTGTACTAAAAGTTATATGTAAATTAAGTAGGTACGTTTGATAACTAACCAATATGCGCATAAGCTCTCGAGTTAAGAGGTTCCTTGTGATAATGGAGTGCGCACGCGCCGTCACCCTAAATCCGATAAACCCATTGTAACTCTCGCGACCCCAGCTGGCACTCGAAAAAAGTTACAAATGTCCAACGGGTTAAATAGAAATATGAAGATTAACGGTTGCCAAAGAAATATATCAATTACGAGTGAACAATTAAAGATATTTTCTTTATAATCATAGTTTGTTGCTATAAAGAAATATGTATAATTTGTACACAAAAAAAATACAAATAATAATGGAAATACAAATATAAAACACATGTAAAAAAACTCGTACTTTAAATGCCCAGAAAAATAATATATTCTTTACTTTTAAATAAGAAGAAAGGAAGTTGTTTTTTACACGTTTAGTATTTCGATAACGTCTTAAAAAGCCAATAAAAAAATTTCTTATAATTATTCAATTTGTATACGTTTAATTTTTAGTTTACTACTAATTATGAGTATAAATTCTATCATCACACATCTTTGTTAATAAGCTACTATATTATAGTCAGCGAATAAATCTATCCCTGCATCTAAGCCGTAAGGACTTGTATGATCAATGAGAGATCTCAATCAGAGGGATTTGCGGCATTTGCACCGATTATAAATCTATTAAGAGCTGTGACAACATATGGACGCTGAAGGGCGAAGCGCCCGGAGCCCCGTGGCGCCACGTAGGGTGCCAAATAAGTAATGCATTTTTATTTTTAATATATAAAATTGCGATTTGTTCAAGAGCAAAATGGGAATGAAAGAATATAAAGCAAAAATAAAATGTTTGTATTGTTTATTTTCTATCATTTATTTAAAAAAAACTTTACTAAAGAGTAATTAACCATATTAAAATCTTATTACTTTTCAAATTACTTTTAGGTTTTAAATTAAATGTCTTAAAGCCATTTTCAACATTAAGTATAATTTTTTTACCCTTAACGCTGAAAATGGCTACTTTTAATTACCTACTATAGACTATCATCAAATTATTTATTAATAATTCTATCTTGTAAAATCACTTTATAGAAAATTTTGTTACAAAATAAGTTTATTTTGGTATTATAAACAAAATTACATTAATTACTATAAAATAATAAGACCTATAAAAATATTTTTATTATCATTGTACTTTACAAAACGCAAGGATAATGTATTCAAAAATAAAAAAATATATTGAAAAAAAAATAAAATTGCATTATGTTTATAAACCCTCTACATTCCTCACGTCACCTCCTAGGCTCAGCTTCACTCCACACTGTACACTAGTGCAGTCATCCGACACCTTTCGGTCGCCACAGATGGCGCTTTTATGTCAATCGTCATAATTAGGGGATTAAGGCCCCCTAATAACATGTTACATTGAATCTCTGTTACGCCCCCGAACAAATGTCCTTCTTTATTCGACAAATAAATATTGTGCGTTGACTTGTCGCAAGTCACTCTTGATTGTGTCACAAATCTTTTGTATCAATGGATAGATTATTTGTAAAACTAGATTCAACGTGCCGATCTATTTCAATTACAAAATATTTTAAATTATAACATGCTATATCAGTCAGGAAGAAATCACGTTACCTTAATTCTATTATGAAAAATGTCACGCGAAGCGTAACCGATATATACGCCATCAAAGCCTCTAAAACATAGAAGCGAGAAAAAAAACAACCTTTTAAACGTTAAAAGGCTCCGTTTACCGCGGACGCAAACACTTAGCTCCATGTTAATTAATAAGTAGCTTGGACGCCGTCAAAGGGAATGCATGAATACTTGCCAAATCGACCTCCGACGGTGCTTTTAAAATCTCCCCCTCTTAATTCGAAAGCTCAGGGAAACCAAAGGTAAACTGATTATGTCGCCAATATGAGATTTTTACAGAAACGAGCGTAAAGACTTGAATATGTGAGAGTTTACGTACTCTTAGTTGAAGTAGATATTATAATAATGGAATTACAAAACGCTCGGAATATGTACATTTTTCTTTGAGAATATATATTTAACGAAATAAGGAGTACACAAATACCTTTTATGGAATTAGTAAGGAAAGGGCAAAATAAATAGATATTTTATATTCTATTATCTACAATACCTAAAATAGAAATAGTTGTACATTGGTAATTTTCCTATTTAATAATCGTGTTGATTCTTCATCTTTTAAGCTTGCTATATACGAGCACTTTCATAGCACATTATTAAGTACCTACTCAAGAACACTCAATTTGATCCTCTTTTAATTGTGCTTATATTGTTATAATAATACTTATTTTATATAGCAAAATGAATATAGAAATGAGATTAAGAAAAAATTATTGAAATTAACATATTTACGCTCTTTACTTATGCCCCAGCAAATAGATATCGCCTTTTAGCAAACACTGACAGAACCTTTTAACAAATGCTTAATCACATTTTTAACCAAATACCACTTACGCAATATCCGTAACTAAACTATGGAATAGCATTTTCAAGCAACATTTCTCGAAGACTATCACGAAACAATCTGTTCAGTCTGACTGCACGGAGTCGGAATCATTAGCTGTAACACTGTTAAAGCAACGCAATTACAATTACGCCGAGCTGAACTTGACCTACGACAAGGATCGATCCGGCCCGCTATGCAAATAAGAAGTCACTTCTTTGAGCCGGACCCCCGCTAAATGGGGTCGAATGATAGGACCTTATGCAAAAATGACACTTAGACGTAGTTTTGGTTAAAACCTTATATCGTAGTAAAATATCAATAGTTTATAATACAAAATTAAAAATACTACCTTAACACGAAATAACTTTTGCTTATAACAATGTTATTTTGGTAAATACGTCATTGCTATACATCGGATATAGTTGTAATTAAGCAATTTCAAAGAAAACATTAGATTAATCTACATAAAATATTGTTTCCTTGTCAATTGAGATGTTCCTATTAGGCAAAACTGGTTTGGCTTGAAAGAAAAATTTTCTTTTAGTTATAGGCTTTAGTACATTTTTACCTTTGGTTTTAACCACATTTTTCACTTCACCTTTGTTTTTAATTTTTATATTATTTTTAGATACTTCCTCTGGAACATTTTTTGTCTCAATATTAGAATTATTCAGTTTCGATGGTAAGACGTCACCAGAGTCAGTATCAGAATTACTCAAATTATTTTTTTTCATTTCTTGAATATTGTTAACGGTTGGATTCTGAGAAGTACTAGTTTTCTTAACTTGCACAGGCATTTTAGTTGGTGCAGAATTAGTTTTAGGTGTGCCAATTGTAGGGTATTTATTAATATTATTATAATTCTTGCCAACATTAGTTTGTTGTCTAGGACTATTTTGATTAATAGTTGAAGTCCCTGCGTTGGAAGATCCCATTTGAACTTCTTCTTGATTGTTAGGTGGTTCTTTGTTATAACCAGATTCTTGAGAACCAGAATATTCATTTTGATGATAATCTTGCGGCTGCTGATCAAAATTCCGAGTTCTATCAGGAGAATAGTTTTGTTGTTGAACGTTGCCATAATTGTTGGGTCTATCATAAGTTGAATCTCTATTTGTACCCATATTGTAATCTGGATAGTCGTTTCGTGTATCTTGGTTATTATTATTATTATTATTAAAATTCCCAAATGGCAAGTTAGATCCTTGTTCGGATGCTTGGTTATTATCACCAAGTAAAAGATTCAATAACAATCCAGCGTAAATAGATGAAAATAAGTTAGCTGCAAAGAATAAATTAAATTATTTCATATAATTATATTCTTACAAAATATTTTTATGAGGCATAAAATAATTGTTTAATTACTAACATACTTTAATAATTTTGTGGCAAAGACGCTTTTTTTAAAGCTGATTTATTTTCTATACTTGTTTCTCAAATTTTATCCTTCTAAATTGTTAGCTAAAAACTTACACCGACATAAAAGTACTACTTTTATTACTTAATCTGCACTTTATGTTGGATTTTTATTTAATAACTAACATTGCCCGTGGTTCCGCCCGCGTTCAGATGACCAAAAACCAAATTCTTATGTTTTACATATTAGTATAATCTTAGATTGCAGTTTTTGTATTTTTTCTCAGAAATGAGATATTTTCCCGCGGTAAAAAGTATCCTATATATAGACCTGGATAGCCAGCTATCATCATACCAAATTTCATCAAAATCTATCCAGTGGTTTTCTCGTGATGCGGTAACAGACAGACAGACAGACAGACAGACAGACAAAAATTTTAAAAACTATAGATTCGGATTCTGTATCGATAATAATGTCTATTTCAATTAGATTTTCCAAAAAAAAAATTAATGTACAGATTCGACTTAGTTTGAATTTTATTATATGTATAAATTATGTGTAAGTACTTTCTACTCGTTAAAAAGAGAATCGTTAAGGTCAATTCGCTATTAGCGAAGATATAGCGTACAATAAAAATAACATGCATCCAAATTCATTTTGAGACCATAATTACTTTTTGAAGTTGTAGTAAATAAAAAAAGTAGGTGTTAAGTTTAAATTACACATAATCTTGTTATTACATTTGCTACACACATATGAGTTTTATTAGACTTACGGCAAATCCTAATAACTTATCTATCTGTGGTTTTCATTACTAGAAATAGAAATTTGACCATTTATTTGGAGAATATTATTAGATCAAACTACCACTGGTAAGATAAGAAAAATGTCAGATAGAAGTGTCATAAGTAGATTTTGAGTTTTAGTCTGTCGTAGAGATGATTTTATAGTTTGTTTTGGATAGATATGGATTGTCCATTTCAAAGAAATTAATAAATGTTAAAAAATCAGTATCTTTCGCTAAAAAAACTAAGAAACGTACTATTCTACTATATTAAAATTGTCTGAAACACCAAGTTCTATCTATTTGACAATTTTCTAAAAAATATATGTATAATCGTGGTACGTACCTAAAATGAAATAAATAGCCAATATTCTTAGAACAAAACTCATGATGAACAGAACCGTTACTTTAGTATTATATATGTCGACTAAGTTTCTAATTGAGAAAATAATAATCACATAATAGATGTCATGGAACTAAATCACCTAAGTCATTAAAACTACTTGTATGCGTTAGCAAAAGAATTATAAAATTTAAAATCAAATTCACACTGTATATAAGACGCAAGGAGCTATTCAAATAAAACGGCTTGTGTTATCAATAAAATTCCGGTAAAAATATTTTAAAGTTCAATTTCAAAGCATATTTATGATGAATAAAATTATATTTATTTTTATTAATAGCAGAGGGAGCGTTCAAAAAATTGAAGCCAGAGCCTGGTGGGACGAGCACGTCAGGAGGCACGTCAGCACTGTCCCCTTCACTGGGTCCTCAACATGCGGGTCACACACCCACTACAGCTTCCTGTCCCACACCTGCGAGACGACGTCATAGAACTACATTTACTCAGGTAACATAAATCATCATTGTGAATATACAGATTTACCTTTTGATTTCTATTGCACTGTTATACAGATGTTTACATAAAGATGTACTAAAACTAATCTTATTATTACGATTTTTATATAGTCACACCACTTTTATTGTTAAATGCTCGAGAATGATTAATAAACCTAAGACTTATAAACATACTATGTCACTTATCGTTAGTTTACAATTTTTCATTATTATTCAAAATAATGAGCACTAATAAGAAACTTGGTTTGCTCATAAAAACTTTAACTAACTTTAAATAACGTTATAGAAGAAATCATCAAAATCATTTTAAAAAGCATACCTTACTCGTAACGTAACTACGAGTAGGTATTAAAATTAGCAACTTCTATTATTAGGTTGATTTCCCATACAAACTCTCTTCTTTCTTCATCCCCATTTTCACTCCCTTAAGATATGATTTCCGGAATAAAACATATCTTATGTCTCTTAAGGATCTTAAACTATCTTCTTAACTTCATATACTTATATTATTATGTAAGTCGGTCCAGTAGTTTTTGAGTTCATTCGTTACAAACATACAAAAACACAAAAATACAAAACTTTCCTCTTTGTAATATTAGTGTAGATGAATGTAATATAAATTCACTATTATATATCTTATATAAATATTCATTTTATAATTTATATAGTAAGTAGTTTTTTCTTATTATTTCAATAGGAACAGCTTGCGGAGTTAGAGGCAGCGTTTGCAAAATCTCACTATCCAGACATTTACTGCAGAGAGGAGCTCGCAAGGACAACGAAGCTCAATGAAGCGAGGATACAGGTAGAGATTACATTTAATCGAAAATTACAATTTAAGAGAAAATATTATTATACTTACTCATTATGTCTAGTAACATAATGAATTAATATAATACAGAAAATAATATAGTGATAAGTTTAGCATTCATGTATATTAGTTAAGACACTCTCAACCCGTCGCCTTTATTTCTTTTCTTGAGTAGAATTGTCGAAATATCAATGATGCGCGAATACTCGAATAATTTAATTTGGAGCGTAGGCCGGAGGCGGATTGAATTAAAGCGCCATCTGTCGTCCTCGGCCGTATGAATACGAAATGCTTACAGTCACTCGCGAGAGATCCTTATCTCAGTTTTAAAATTGCTCAATCCCTCGAGACACACTATTGATTTGTCCCAAGAGCACCTAATTCGGTGCTTTAGTTATTTTCTTATGAACAAGACTTTTAAATTTGAGTTTAAGTATTATAAGCTCAATAAAAGATTAAAAAAATATTATAAAATTTTTAACGTCGTCATTAATATAACATGAAGGTTTATTATTTATTTAAGCATGAAATCTAAAACTATCCTTTTTACAATCACAAAGTTTTATTTAAAAATATGAAAGGTTCAACAAAATTACGTTATATAAAGATTTTTGTATTCTGCCGTTAAAAGCTCGTGAAACATACGCACACAGAATATTTCAAAGTACCCGTACACGTAGGTTACTAGCGATGGTACCTACACTAGGTAGGTACCTACACTCGTGCACGCGCTTCGTAGGAGGCTATTAACGTTCGGGCGACGCTATATAAGAATGTAAACGTTAAAGACGACAGCGATGTCGAGTTCCCTCCTAGAGGAAATTTCGATATAAAAATACAACATCGTCGGGCGAGCGGGGGTGGGTGACGGAAGGGTGGCCCCTGAGGCATTGCAATCCCATCAAATGGATCCGTAACGAAGTTAGCCGCTCATCCTCCCCGCGCGCCTCTCGACATTGTCTCTGCCCTCAAATGAATTCTACAATTGGAAATAAGAAAATGTTTTGTTGGATCCGTGCTTTTTCAGCTAGACCATTTTCTTCGGATAACATGCCGCTCGGGTATATATATACATGGGTTTTTATTCGAAATGGTTTCGGGACATTTAATGAATTTGATCTCGATATTAAAGCGTGCTTATAAATTATTTATAAAATTGTTAAAGTTCTACAAAATCTTTTATATTCTTTCGAGACAGATTTTTTCAGAATAAGCTTTTTGAATAAACATTAGAGATATAAGCTTACATTTATATTAAATTTTATTTCTAAATTACTTAAAATTATCTTGTACCGTTCTTTGTTTATATGCGTAGGTACATATATTACATACTAATGAATAATGAAAACATTAAAAGTAAGCTTTTACACAAAAAAATACAGGTACCTATATATTTATCAGATATGATATCAGAAATATCTATTACTTACCTACTTAATCAGATACATGTTTTGTAATTATTGATTACGAAACACAACAAAATACTGAGTAATAATAAACTCTAAAAATTGATTAACAAAATAGTTTTTGCTAAAAACACAATCACACTCGTTTACTAAAAAAAAACTTTCACATTTTCAATTTTAGTGTGATTTATTTATAAAACGTTTTAGATGATCGTCTTCCTATTTTACATAAAATATTTATTTTTAGAACATAGCATTTTATAACCTAAATTATTTAAAAAATACTTATAAATATATTGTATACACATAATAAACATATTTATTTAATAAAATTACTAAAAGAGATACCTCCTGTATGAATAGAAAGTTTTAATAATAAAGTAAATGCTCATTTCAACTTGAAGATATCCAATAAACGATTGTAACAGATCGCTCTTTAAAAGCTCGGAAATTGCTTCGTTTTTCATCACAACGCGCGCGGCGAGGGACGGATGTCGAATTGCTTTGCGAAAAAACTAATATCCCCCATGTTCCTCTACCCTATTCTATATATTGCTTATTTATAATATATAGCCCGTATTACATTAGGTTTAGGGTCCAAATTACTAGTTGTAAATTGTGGGTTGGTATGTATCGGTTTATTTATGGGGAGTGCGTCCGGAGGGCGTCTCCCTTGCCCTCTCCCTCGCGCTGTAATCAGCTGTAATCACCATATCAAAGTACGCACGCCTCATTCCCGTTGACAACACAGATTATGGGTCGACACGATGTTTGCTACTTTGTTTTTTAACGTAACATGTTAGTCAGTCGCCTATTATTCACATAATGCAAGTATGTATGTACCGTTTAATACTAATTTCAATTCTAGGTTATATTTAACTCTGCTAATTAACTTATTAAGGTTGTTATTATTAATAATTATTGTAAATTTTTTGATATATGGATTTCTAAAATATATATAAAGTCATTTCGATTGCTTGGTATTAACTTTAATATTATTTCCAGAATGTCTCCTTATAGGTACAAAAACTTTAATTCAAAATACGTAAGGATCAAAAAAATGTTTCTTTCCTATAACTTCAAAATAAGACAAGCGATTCCTAGTTATTGGACAAAACAATATTTCTAAATTCTAGCTTTGTGTAGATCGAATCTATCTTTAATTTCTTTACTAGATAATAATTTTAAAAAATATCTATTCCTAAATTATTTACACTATACCTACTATGTATAAACGTAATGTATTGTAATACTAAATAACTTAATAGTAAATAAATACCTACCTACTTTCAAATAATCAAGGTAATCAAGGTCATTTCAAATTTTTCAAGCCTACTATCAAAGTTATCTTTTAATTTTCTTATAAATCACGAATTTGTTATACATCAATTTATATGATTATCGATTTGCTGACACTACGACTATACAGTAAACATCTTAACTAAAATACTTTGTAACACAGGTGTGGTTTCAAAACCGCCGGGCGAAATATCGTAAGCAAGAGAAGCAGTTACAGAAAGCGCTTGCACCAGCAGTGCTGCCGGGCTGCAACGGCATGATGAGAAATATCCAAGGCTACAGAGGCTACCAACCATACCCTCACCCTAACACTATTAATAGATATCCACAGGTAAATATTTTTAGAGTTAGTTTTATTTTACAACGCCATTGTCTAAGAATGAATACAATAATATATATGCATATAATACGGATTTATTATGGATATATAAAAAGGCTACGAGTGTTACGAATTACTTTACAATATACTATGTGTTAACTTATAAAAAAATTGCGCTGCGCGCCCGGTCCACTTGTATTCATACAACACGCTAGAGCAGCAAGCGACCGGTGAGCTCCACGCTCGCCAGCCACTCGCTGCCGCGCCAACGACTTACAAAGATTGTCGAATCTAGTCTAGCGTTTGTGTACTGGCCTGCGAGCTCGTATTTGACATGTTATTGTTTTGAAAGGGCCAAAAGTAGCTGACGAAAAATAATCAATGCAATCATACATATAATAAATTGTAACTGATCGCTGTCTGTACATGGGAGATATTTGAGAAAAACTATTATTGGGGGTATTTATTAACGCGATAGAACCCAAAACAATGATTTTTAGAATTTTTGTCTGTTTGTCTGAGCGTTTGTGCGTGCTAATCTCAGAAACGGCTTAACCGATTTGTATGCAGTTTTCACGAATGTATTTTATGGTAAGCTTCACTTAACATTTGTTATTTATCCTATTTCAATCGGTTCATAAATAAAAAAGTTATGTCAATTTAATAAAAAAACACAAGAAACATTTATTGGAAAAAAGGTGTGTATACTTATTTACGCACGCAAGAAGTTATAAGTACTTCTTTGTTTATATAAAGCATTTAAATGAAAGCTTGTTTTTTGAAATGTTTTAACTTTTTTTTAATGTTTTTTACTTTTTTTTCGTATTCTTCTCAGCAAACCCATTCACTTGATATCCATATACTTAGACCAGGGCTGAAGCCTTTGAAAATGGTAAAAAGTGAAAAAAAAAATTGTAGGATGAATCCCATTGGAAAAGGAAGAGAATATAACAAAAATGAAAGGAAAAATAATTTACGGGCGATCTGAGGTCGGGAAGTGGGAAGAGGTGAGTTTTTAAGGGTAAAAAATGGTTTATCTCGATTTCCGGCAAAACCACAAGTCCTATGGAAAAAAGTTAAATAGCAAAGTTGTAGGTAATAAAAAGATCTACACCTTTTGCTTTTACACTTTTTTCACTTAACCTTAATGCAAAAAGTATCCAGACCCTCCTAGCCCCTTCCCCACTTCTCTATGAAATATCTTTTGATGGGCTAAAATTTTCCTTAGGTCACTCAGGTATATAAGTTATCTTAAAATAGCAATAAATAGGCATCTATGCATATAATTTAAAGAAGATTCTACAACTTTCTCAAAATTTTGTAGATGTCATATTAAATATTAACTTTATTTTTTGCATTTTCTGAGAAAAGGTACCATAGTAATGTAAATTTTTTTACATCATAAGAAAGTAGAGATTTCAACGAACAAAAAGCCCACCGGCTTTTTTAAAAAAGCAGATATTTTGAGCGACAATTTTCGATTGAAAATTAGGGTGCTTTTTTGATATTAAGCCAAAATAAGGTAAAAAAATAAATATGTTACATCAAAAAAAAAATACTGTATATTTGGGACATAAAAAGGTAAGTTTTCACCTAATTTTGTGAATGCTTTTTTTTGTAAAAGATAAAAATAAAAAACCAAAAACTTGAATTTTTCACATAAATTTTGAGGTTATGTGAAAAAAGTGTAAATACATCGTTGTAGATCTTTTTATATTACCTACAAAATAACGATTTAACTTTTTTCTATAGGACTTGTATTTTTGCCGGAAATCGAGATAAGCCGTTTTTTACCCTTAAAAACTCACCCCCTCCAACTTCCCGACCTCAGATCGCCCGTTAATTATTTTTCCTTTCATTTTTGTTATATTCTCTTCCTTTTCCAATGGGTTTCATTCTACTATTATTTATTTTTTGGTTTCAAAAATTATTGGCCCTGGTCTAATATCTTGGGGGTGCAAAATAAACAATTCGCCATATTAAATTTTAAAGTCCTTGCACTTGATACCCATATCATATGGGTGGCTCACTATGAAAATAATAAATCGCCATTTTGTAACGTCCGTCCGTCGTATTGGATTAAACATGGTGGCATTTTGGAAATCGTGCAGTCACGACAGTCAAACGTGTGTTCCAAATTTCAGCTCAATCGGATAATTGGAAGTGGGTCAAAAACTTGTAAGATCTGATTACAGACAGACAATGAGACAAGTGAAACTAAATAAAAGCTTGTAATAAATTTTATATTTATCGTCATAAAACACGTATTGAGTATATAGAAATAAAATAAAAAATTAAAAAAACTTCACATTGTAGCCAATAACGACTAACTTCACACTGTAGTCAATAATCACTAACTTCATACTCCAACTCGTCCAAATCTGTCGCATCACATAGCAAAAGAAGTATAATTTCAATAATGTTATATATAAAATACTGTTGAGTTGATTTGGCTGAAACTTTGGTTAATTATATTATATGTAGTTTGTAAAACGATGATGATTGAAAGTTTATAATATGGACACAACAAACTTAAAAATTGATAATTTCAGAAAAGACGTTGCCAATGTAAGTTGAGACTTCTATATGGATGAACATATTAAACAGCGTTTAGCTTAAACTGGGCGCGCTTCTGTCGAACGCCGGCGCACACTGGTAATCGCTAAAACTCGGCTAATTTTTTTTTTTAAATAATTAGGGTTCGGTGCAAAAAAAAATCCATGAAATAACGAACAAAATCCGCGTAAATCGTTTGTCTACCTATATGGAAATACCTATATGGTATTTAAAAAATCTGGTTGATATTGTGTGCAGTGTGCAACCTGTTGAAAAATAATAAAAAGTGTCCGCTAAATAAAAATGGGCATTCGGATTTTTTTAGTTTTCATATAGTGTGTAGGGGAAAACAACCTTTTGGTCAAAACTAGTTCAGAAAGTTTTAGTCAAAAAAAACTTGTTTGCCGTCAAATATAGTTTGTATTGTAATATAGATTTTTTTATTATAACAGAAATGCACTTTATTCAATACTAAAATATTAGATACTTATAAGCTAATAGTAGGTACATTACTAAATATGTATAAAATAAAGCACCAACTGCACGTTACTTCTCTCAAAATCCTAACAGCGCCTTATAGACTTTACCTACCATACTTTTCCATACATTCATACGTTATATAATATTACAAATGCGAATGTAACTCTGTCTGTATGTCTGTCTGTAACGTTTTCCCACCTAGCAAATTTTAATAAATATTGCTATAGACGTAGTTGGGACCTTGGATAAGGACATAGGCTACTTTTGACTTACTCGAAAGGGGTGGAATGAAAGAATGTAATTTGAAATTTCGTATAATATACTCAAAAGCAATTTGCTACTATTATTTCCCACCGTTTTATTAGAATTTTCAAATTATAGGCTTTATTAAAAATTCAATTCTCTGAAACACGAGCAATAAGACAAATCAATTAAAATTTCACACTCCGGACTCAAGGGCCATCGGATATAGGCATGATAACGAGTGCATTGTCCGAGCGCAATCTGCAACATTGGTATTTGCATTATTTTCGGCGACCGCGCAATGACGCAATCTCATTACGGCGTAATCAGAGCGACTGATTAGCGCCGCATGCTAACGAGCGATGAACGCTCATATTAAAATGTTCTTTGTAAAATTGGGAATTGTTTCAAATGCATGATCACTTCTAAAATATAACATTTGAATTATTTCTCTAAAGTATATAGCATTATTTATTTCCGGTATATTATATCCGATAAGCAAATAGGTAACGAATGACCTAAAGCCCTTTTTATCTTCTACACATTAACAAAATATGTGATTTATTGTTTATATTATAGCGTTACAATAGATTATTACGTAAGTTCGAACCACGTAATAAATAGATAGATACATTATTTAAAAAGATGGCTTTGAAATGTGATATATTTTCATTCATCATTATTAAAAGAAATGTGCAAACTGCATACTTTTCCTTACATTTTCTCTTAATTGCATCACAAAGGCAACATATTATATGTATATTTATGACGTCTGCAGCGATATAGGAAAATACAATTTACTTATAATAAATTGTCTCAACAACAAACTAAAAGTAGCTACTTACTAATTATATATTAGTAAACGTATAAAACGTTACGTGATCATTTTTAATTTGGAAACCTTGTAGAATCTAGATAGACAAAAATTAACAACCCAGAAAGATAGAATTCATTTATGCGCCGGTCGTTATGACACCTAACTCTATGTAAGTTTGTACTAGATTTAATTGTTTTCCGTCAGATTTCTCATTTAATAAACGTTCATAGATATAAATACCAACAATTAATTAAGCAGTTTAAAATCATATGGAAATATTGTAGATTCGGTTACAACATAACTGAATTTAAATCAAGTCATTCTTATATTCCACTATTGGAGATATGTACTTAATGTTAAGATTGATTTAAAACCGTTGTTTATCGAGTAATAAAAGAGATAAACTTATGCAAGATATAAAAGGTATAAAACTTAAAAAATATTTGCCAACGTGGTAATGGAGTGGTTTTAATATTTTCATTAACCGTCGCATTACCATTAAAACATTAAAGTTAAGTGTTGATCGTGATAAATTACAACCACGACGCGTTCAGACAAATTTTATAAAATAAGTATCTATATAATAAATAAAACAAGCAAAAACTTAATATTATAATATTATGTAATTATAAATACAAAATCACTGTACTAGGACTTTTTTAATCGCCTTCAAGTGTATTGTAGAGTTCCAAAATTCAAGTCAGTATAAATGATAAGTAAATGTTACCTTTCATTCTACATTTATAGTATGATATATGATTAGAAAAAAATCGATAAAGTTATATAAGTATCTCTCAAGGGCCGCCGTTACTATACGAGTATAATGTATATACCATCTCCAACATAGGTTTCAACTTAAACCACATTTCATTTTTCGTGTGGTTAATATTATTGTCATTAGAGAACTTTTAAAACATTATACATACCTACATGAACAAAAAATTACTGCTTATTACTAGCTAAAAATAAGAAAGACTACTGCACGAAAAACAATACATACTCCATAACATCTAATATTTATTTAGGTTATGATAAAAAAATTACGATTTTCTAACAAAAATACATTTTTTCAGCATCACGGCAGCTATGAAGAGCTACAAAAGGATATATTTTCTTTGTCGCAAATGGGCGGCGGCTCGTACCCAATGCCGCAAGGTTTCTCTATGGGTCACAGCGCCAACATGACTGCCGTCGGCATGCGACAAGATACTATGGGTGAGTTTAAATTATATTTTTCTTAACTATTCCTTGGTATTGCGTTAAAGCAAAAATTTATCTACATATTCCAATTATTCATCTACATATTATCATTCTATATATACTACCTAGTTATTTATATCAATAACTCTTGATATACATAGTCTTGCCTTAAATATTGTTACAAAGAAAAAATCATTTTTTCTATTGCCGTAACATTTATTACTAGTGTGTTAATTTAATACATTCATATAAAACCATTAAAAATATATTAAGCTTATTCCAAGTGACCAAAATCAACAAATATTGTAAGATCCTACTTTGGTGCCATTTTTGAATTTTTGAAATCATTTTGTAAAATTATGGATAGGCACTGTCTGTAACAAGTATATAACGCATTTAAAAAGTCTCTCCCTCTATCTCGACCTTAGTCTCTCCCGTGACCATGATTGCTGTAAAGCATTCGAAACGTCGGAAATCAAAAATCAAAACAAACGAAAACGAAATAATCCGAAAAGATAGTTTTATTTAGATTGTCAAATATTCGCCTAAATCTAAGAAATTATTATAACAAAATATTATATTATCAAATTAGCAATATAAACTTATTGATTTTCTCACAGTAATAATTATCATTGATATTTTTAGTTGCAATTTGCTGATCCTATTCCAATAAAAAGAAATGCTATTGGCATATAACTAACAGTCAACAGAGCAACTTTTTTTGAATAATATTGAATACCTATTTTAAGTTTGACAAGAGCTCTTGTATTCGGTACAAAATATTATTATTTCGTGATTCCTAGCAGCTAACGTGATGAATAATACTAAATTAAGTCGAGAGCAACTAAGATGTAAGTTTGAAGTGTAAAACAAGAAGCGGTAGACGCGCGCGGCAGCTTTCATCAACTTTCTATTAGAACCGTCAAGGCAATTATAAAGTTGCGGGGCCCGGATGATCGCTGCCTCGTTTTTATACAAATATCCCTTATAATAATGAGAAAACTTGCTCTTTGCTGGTCACGACTGAGTTCTTCCAGATGATCTCGAGACGGAAAAAAACTTAATTAGAATTTATTAAAGTCGTGGGAATTCTTTCTTTTGTTCTCTGCAAAGTGTTTTGTCATAGCTTCATCAAAGCGGACTAACGGCCATTAAACTCGGTTGAAAATATTACTTTTCATAATTTATCTTTTATTATCGCAAAAAATTTAATATTGAATTTTTACCATAGAACTTTAGGAAATGCTATAACAGTAACAGTGTAAGCTTCACTGCCATGCCCGTGAGCCAAGTTAAAACGATAGCTACCTACATGAAATAATTACCTGAAAATTAGAGATATTTCCGTAAATAAATGATGTACCTACTTACATATATCAGTCGTAGTTGAAGACGCTGTACGTACTCACATCACTAATTCAATGATCCTTGAGTTTGCGGCCGGAGATTATAAATCTCAGCTCAACTCAAGACGTACTAACTTGTACAGAATATATTTAAGATACGTTTCGTATGCATCAAGTTTTAATGGAAATTCATATTTTTATCATTCAATTTAGTTCTACTTTCAATTTACTTTACAATAACTGTAATTTTACCGACAAATGATACCTACTCGTATATTTTAATTTCTAATAATTTCAAAATTCGTAAATATTATAAAAAATAAATGAATACGTTCTTATAAAGTATAACGCGGCAAAGCGTGAAAGTTAAAGTGCCGCGAGCCGGATTTCTGCGTAGAAAAAACGTCCAAGTAATGGAGGCGAGGCATCGTACCGAAGATATTCTAATAAGAAAATTTCCACTACATTTACTTTGGCGGGCGTCCTCGCGGCGTCTTCGCAAATATCTTATTTCCTGCGGCGAGATTGCATCTTGAGAAAACGCGAGGGTCGCTTGTACCTCTCAGGACCCTCCGGCTCGAGTACATTTATGTCTATCACTATGCGGTAAAGCTGGTAAGGGTAACTGCTACGTTAGCCTCCCTTTATCTTGGCTATATGACTAGGCATGTAATTTTCGTACATGAAAAATTTTAACAAAATATAACAAAGGCTTGAAGACGTTTTTATTACAAATTAGAGAGTATTCGACGGTAATAATTAGAAGGATTTGAGTATACTGCTACGTATTTTTCATATTAATGTATTTCTAAAATTTCTTATTCCCTCCGCAAATTTTAAATATCTTGTTTGCTAAACAATCACTTAATATATTTCTCCTGATGAGGAATAAATGCGAGTGTAGTATTTGCTTTAATGTAAGTGTTTTCTATAGAATGATACGGTTAATTAATTTTGACTATCTAATAATAGGTAATAAAGCTTCCTATTACTGAAAGAATTTATAGAATCGGATCAGTGGTTTTAGAAATTACCCCCAACATCCAAGCTTATAAACTTTACCACTTTATAATATTAATCTAGATTAGGGTATTCTTATCTTAAATGAATTAAATTTAAATTATTATACTAAAAATATAATAGATACATATGTTATAAAGTGTAAAAGCTCAAAGTTTTGCATTGAATAATAAAGGTAATATAATTGGACTAGCATTGCCCGCGGCTCCGTCCGCGTTCAGATGACTTTTGTATTTTTTCTCAGAAATGAGACATTTTCCCGCGGTAAAAAGTATCCTATATGTTGACCCGGATAACCAGCTATCACAATAATAAATTTCCATCAAAATTTTTCCAGTAGTTTAATCGTGATGCGATAACAGACAGACAAAAATTCTAACAACTATAGATTCGGCCTCTGTATCGATAATAAAGTCTATATCAATAAGATTTTCCGAAAAATATTTAATGTACAGATTCGGCTTAGTTAGAATTTTATTATATGTATAGATTTCGAATAAATCGAATATACCTCGATACAGCTTGACTTGAGCTTTCAATTAGGGTTATGTTAATTTGTTGTGAATTCAAAAGAATGGATGTGTCTGCTAAGCCAAAAAGGAATGTTATTGAAAATGAAAAATATTTGAAAACAATAATAATAATATGTTTATTATGAATACTTTATTATTATTTTATCATTGTTATGAACATTTTTTTATTTTAATTTGCAAATAATAACTATTTTTGTATTGTCTTAATAAGGTATGAGCGCGGAGGACGAATGGTACAACAAATCGCTCTCCGCGCTACGAATGAACAGCGGGCACCACGCGAACCTCGCGGCAGCCCCAATGCTGCAGTACCAGACCTAATCGTTGCTACACGGCGCCGACTACTCGCCGGCGTCGCACGACTACGCGCCGCCGTAGTCGTTTGTATGGGTAAGGCTTACCGCATACATGGCGGTTTTTTATTGACCGTTTTGCGTGACAATGCAAATTACTTTTTATTATACACTAAATTGCCAGGTATGCTTGGTAAATTTGTAGAATGATAAATATGATCATCAGCTAATCGGATTCATTGCTTTCGTTAAATTTTTATAAAAGGAAATTAAAAATACTCCTTAAGACCATTAAAATGGAAGAAATTTTTTTTTCCTTATTTTTAAAAAAACAACAACGGAACACTTCCTATTCAAATTATACAAGTTATTACTCTGAAATTAAATAAGAGCATACTCATATAATAACTACTACATAAAAAAATGTCAGAGGTCATTCAATTATTGGTACATGTTAGTTTTATACATTTCAAGCCAGTAGAAGCTTTCTCCCAGATTACTAGCATTAAATCTTTTTAAATATATGGATAATTCCAAAGAATTCGTACAACCCCAATTGAACATGATTTATTTAATTAGCGTCGTACGAGGTCTTTAGTATCGTATTTTATGTTTGAGTTATATAACTATTTTTTAAGTCTGATATTTTGTTATATAATAGAGTTTAAATACTAGAATTAAAGAATATTGAAGAAATGTACAAAATAATAATCTGTATGTGTTTTCGCCACCATAATCGTTTTATATTGGAAAATACTAAAATTTAGGAACTCCGTATAAATCTTTGCCAAATGAGTAAAAGCAACAATATGAAAAAAATCGATTGTACGAGTATATTATTCTAATTTGTTATATATCAATGAATTCAGTGCGTCCAAAACGTACTTAGAACTATGTATAGGTACAAAATAATTTTTTAATTTAATAAGAAACAATTGTTTCCCTCTAAACATATACTGTGTATTCTAGTCATATTGTACAGCCATTTTGAATTGATTAAACGATAAGTATAGGTATAATATTTTCATGATTGTTGTATTGATTATGTGAGTTAATATTAAGCTATTTTTGATAGCTCCTCTAAATAATGGATGCAAATGTAAAAACGCTTCCTTATATAATTTTTTTATTTAAAATATTGTTTTATCAATCAAAAATCAAAACATCGTTTTCAAACATTTTAAGCTACATAAATTAGACAAAAAATGTATAGATTAAAAAATATATCAAAGGAGCTTTCAAAAATATTATATGATCTAAGTTTTTAATAATTGCAATACAGCCTGTGTAAATATTAAACCGTCTGCATGATACTTTTAAGGTGTTAAGAGCTCAACGATATTTAACATTAAATTATTATTTAGTCCAATTGTAACATTAAAAGGCCAGTTTCATATTATAATATAACTTACAAACTGGCAATTTTGATATAAGCAAAGTATCAAATTGAATAATTTTGTTGATGAAATTTGATTAATAAACTTTTTATTTGCACATTTTATTGTAATTTTAGGTTATTCTAAGTCATATAACATTAATTTCGAAGTCTGTAACTTTAAAAATTACAGAACTTTGGAATTTTAGTATTACTCAATTTTAAAATTTCAAAAAAGAGTTTGCGTTTAAATCGCCAGTTTGTAAGACGCCTTAATACGCCCGCGCCATTTGTCGATGCTAGTCAGTTACTTGAAATGGTAGTTTTATATAAATAATAACATTGTATTTATCATTTCAACTTTGTACAGTAAACGAAAACCATAGTTAAATTCGTTGTCATTTGAAGGCCACCTGTGCATTTCTATGTAAATATATGTGTAAGAAAACTTGTCTTATAATAAAAATGTGTAAAATTAAATAAATTGTCTAAAATGTACTTTTGTGTCATTTTAAATCAGAAAAAGTTTTAACTATGTATTGCAAAATTTTATAATCGGCATATTACCTACCTCCTTTCATCTAGACGTACAACGTATGCCCACTTAATATGAAGTTTAGGAAACGTTATAAATTAAACACAAAATTAACAAATTATGAACTTTCAGTTTCATTTTAGAAAAAAAAACCATGACCTTTGTAAATTTTGTATTATCATAAAAGCTCTTGTTCCGGTATCGCATATTGGGGATTGGTTATCACATTCTTATTAAGAAATCTTGTTAGGTTAGCATATACGATATTTTCTCCACCGACTGCCTTCCAGAAAGTAGCTGCATCATGGCGCAGCTCTTCATTTTGGCCACACTCCTAAAATATAAAAAAAATAAGTCATTATATTTAGCGTAGGTCAAGATTGTCTACAGTAGTGAGTTAAATTCCCTGAGACGCATTAAATTATAGTACACCATCCTGATATTTTAACATATTTTCTAAAACACTCTCTCTATAAACGGAAAAAAAGAAAACAAAGGAACATGCCACGAAACGTTGTATATATATATTTCATAAATAAAATAATTAAAGTTAAAAAAATAAATGAAGTGCCTGCCTTCTGTTCATATACCTGAAGTTCTGACGGTGGCCAATCTTACTGAGACTAGCCAACTGCGCAGGAGATATTATAGTGCACAAGTGTACGCGCAGACACATGTGCACTCACTATTCCTGTCACTCTCATACTCAGGTGGGACGACTGTTCTACACGACCGGTGAGAGTTAAGGCACAGGACCGACGGCTTTACGTGCTCTCCGAGGCACGGGGGTGAAACACCGCCTACTTCCCAACTCCGGGCTATAACTGAGGCTTACTATACAGAAAGACTCAATAACTAAACTTGGCCCGACCCGGGACTCGAACCCAGGACCTCCGGGTGTGCAGCCGTACATGTTAGCCACTACACCATCGAGGAAGTTCCTATATAATATATTGTATATACAAGTGCTTGGCTTTTTCATACCAAGCAATATATTATAAAAAATATATATCTCCCTGAATATTTTCTAATTTATTACATATACTAGGAAAATATCTTATTACAGAATAATTGAATAAACCATCGTACTTCACAACCACTTTCATGCGAAATAAAGGCTTCAGATAAGGGCTCTTGGAAAGATCCCTCAATTTTGCTTTTAGCGTAAAATTCATTATATTTCGTTTTAATTACATCGTACACCTGAAAAGGAAATCAAATACATTTTAAATTACTTTTAAATAACTTCGAATCCTTTTCTTAATAATGGAAAGAATAGTTTCCTTATAGAAATAAGTAGGTAATATGATTGCTATGAAAATATTTTATTCTTATGAACATGAGTTTTATGTGAACCCTACCGTATTTCCGGCCTGTTCATAAATATCATACAATAGAGTACCAAATGGCTCCTGATATAGAGCCGCCATCCAGGGCTGCATGAAATATTCGTATAAATCACTTACTAAATTTACCTGAAATTAATAACAATTGATTGATTATTATTTTTTTATTGTAGACTAGTTATAAGCTTCCATTTCTTCTCAATTTTTTTCGGATTTCTATTATTCTATAATTCTTAGAGCAACAATCACTATAAATAATATAAATGCGAAAGTTTCTGAGGATGTACTCTGAGGATGTCTGGATGTCTGGTAGTATAGATGTATGATGTTTGTTACTCTTTCACGCAAAAACTACTGAATGGGTTTTAATGAAACTATACCAATAAAGTAGCTCATATATCAGAATAGTATATAGACTACTTTTTATCCCGGAAAAATGTATGGTTCCCGTGGATTAGATTTGTTTATCTAGAGACGAACCCGAGCGAAGCGAGGCTGACCCGCTATTAAATATTACAAAATAAATTCAATAAGCTGCAAATCATACTAACATTAAACCTCGCAAGAAGATTATTAAAATATGCTTCATGCTTTCCATACAATTGCATTAACGTTTCACTTGAGAATGTCTTTTTAGACAAACAGGTGATAGACTCGACGCAATGTAATGTATTTATTTGAAGCCTGAAGTAATTTTCCCACCTATCCGTTATAAGTGTATGGCCCTGTATAAAGCATTTTAATAAAAAAATCAATAATATTATATATGTACATATAAAAATTCAAATACATTCTATAAGTATATTGAGAACTTTTGTATGAAACCGAAGGAAATAGTAATCACGTTATATGAAAGCTGTACTCGTATATCCGTATTTCATTTTATTCTATGATATCTAAATTCAAATTCAGAGTGAAAATTTTGTTTGCTTATGCAAATACCTATTTTATTAGAAACAAGAATAAGTTGAAATAAACATATTTACAATAATTGCTACACCTACGCCAAAGGTTAATCTATACCTACGTATAATAAAATTCTGACTCGAATCTGTACCTTAAATATTTTTTGGAAAATATTATTGAAATAATCATTATTATCGATACAGAGGCCGAATCTATAGTTTTTAGAATTGTTGTCTGTCTGTCTGTTAGCGCATCACGGAAAATCCACTGGAGGGATTTTGATGAAATTTTAATTTTGGTAAGATGATAGTAAGTAGGGATGAATCCGAAAGCAGAGCGAGGTTGATTCGCTAGTACTATATAAAAATCTTTTTTATGATAAGGATTTGACGCAAAAACATCCTTTTAGTTTCGTCATATCCGACTGTTCGTTTATATATGTGGCGGCTATTTACGATCACATGCTTTTTAATTTAGCAGTTGCAAAAATTACTTAGTATTTACATAGTGACGGCAAATAAGCATTGGCATATATGAAATACCACTTTCGAACTGGATTCGACCTAAACTGCCATACCATAAAATGAAATACAGACCGCAAGAGGTTTTATATCATATGGGAGTTCCATATAATATAAAACCTCTAAATCATTATCAAAAGTTGCGTCAAAATCATTACACTTTCATCGGTGTTTGTTTATATTAAGGTTTATTAATGTCATTTCAGTACCTAGTGTTAAATAGTGGTCACTGTTCAATAGTGTAGTACGGTATAAGTACAGATAGTTCAAAAGTAGATTATTTTGATTAAAAAGGTAAATAATGCTTTTTTGGCACAAACATATACCTACATATATTGTTTTTCATTAATTTCATTGGGTTGATTAATTGGGTTACTGGTGGCAGTTTCGAAAGTTATTTATAGCTAGGTAGTGGGTATAAAAAAGGCCTATGTTTGAACTTCCGTTATATCTAAAGTTAAATTATTGTGCTTTTCAAAGCTTTTCAATATAATTATTCATAATTTTCATGTATTAGGTTATATTTAAATATACATTTTCCATTTCAAGACCAATACATTATTTAGCATCATGATAGTATATATTATATAATTTAATTTAGATAATTTAGTTAGTATGTAATATATTTACGTACTTCATAAAAGAAGATATCTTTTCGGAGTGTGTTACGCAGGGTACCACAATTCATATGGAATCCATATAAATTTGTAAGGAGGAAAAAGAGAAATAATTACTGTCAAAATTTGATTTGAAGATTGAGATTTGGAGTCATTATAGCTTTATTACCTACATAAAAAGCAGTTATGTTTTATAAAGTCTTGAAGCTTTCATGATCACTGACAATTTTTGTATGTTGTAGAACGCCATGGTTACGGGTGACAATAACCAAAATTCATAAAAGTGAAGAGCATTGGTTAATTCCTGTTGAGATTATAATTACTAAACAGTAATTATCTAATAATATAATATTTTTACCCGACTACGGTAAAGTCAAAAGGAACGGTTAGTATGAAATGAAATTGAAATGTGTACCTACCTACCTAATCTATATGTACATAATAAAACTGTAGAGGTCGAATTTCTGTACAAAGAAAAAATATGCTAAAAACCGAGTCAGGGGGATGTAAGATGAGAAATAGAACAAATCCAGATTTATTTCAAATTTTTGTTTCTCTGTCTGTCAGTTTGCACGGGCTAATCTCTGAAACTTTTGGACCGATTTAAATGAAATTTTGCATGGTGGTACCTTATATCAACGGTCAAACTTTTAGATACTTTTCATCCCGGAAAATTAAAGAGTTCCCGTGGGATAGTTCAAAAACTATAGTAAGTTATACAGTTTAGTACACAAAAACTACTAAGAATAGGAAAAATAGAAAATGAAAAGAAAATAGAAAGAAATAAGCTACTTTTTATCTCGGAAAATTGTACGGTTCTTGTGGGATAGATTTGTTTTTGTTTGTTTTAGTTTATACTAAAATTTGAAATTAATACCATACTTTTTTTCATATTATAAAGATTTCGCTTACCTGATTCGGTAACAATAATTGTACAGCCATCGGCACTTCCTTGCCGGGGCGGCGTAGGTTCATGTAGTAGAGCGGGCCCGGCAGCGTGGCCGAGCGCACCAGTGGAGAGGAGAACTTCATCACTGGCTGCCATCTACTGTAGTTTGTTGTTTTGGATATTTACTTAAATAAACTATTTGTAAAAAAACTACATGTCACTTATAGGTTTCTATATAAAAAATATTTAATTCAGTTTTATAGATCCTAATTGTACCTAAATACCTACATGTAATGTTGGGAATTGTAGGGTAGATTTTGAGTTTGATTGGATAAGACTATTGTGCTAATCTAAGATATAAAAGTGCAATATAAATATATTTATATTTAGTAGATTTCATGTTTAGTAATAATTGTGTATGAATGCTATTATTATAATATTTGTTCGAATTTGACAACACGTTTGGCTCAGTTTGTAGTGACTCTACATGCTGTGCCTACGGTTGCGTGTTCGAGTCTCGCTGGGGGCATTCATTTATGTGGTTATCACGAATGTTTGTACTCCAGTCATGGATGTTTATATTTATAATATGTATGTATTTAAAGTTATATATAAGTAGTGTAGCAACTATCTAATATCCATAACACAAGCCTCGTAGCTTACCATGGAACTAGATGGTGCTGTGCGTTAATGTCCAAATAAGCATATTTATTTGTACCTACAAGTGTATATGCCAATTTTGAACACTCACATGACTAAAAACACTTTTTGGCATATTCTACTAGTTTTATGAGAAAGGAATAAGTAATATTAAAATTATATTCAAAGCTGATACATAAAATAAATAAATTATGTACGTAAGTAATATCATTTTATAACATCTAAATCTTATTTACCCTTTAGCCATGTTAATAGAAAGGCGTCCTGTACTTGAAATACTCGCATGAGAACTTTTGCATCTGTAATATATTTACGGTTTTATAAAATCTTCAAGTTATACATTTATGTAATATACAGTAATTTAAATATATAATAAATATTTAAAATAGCAACACTATTTATGTAGTGTAAAATCTTGCAATATTTCATTAATCATTTATGGAGAATATAAGAACAGCAAGATGCATCGCGCTCAAATTATAATATTCAATTTTTTAATGCTTTATGATAACGTAGTTAGGTGTAGTTATTTGTGTTTAAAAGATTATAACGCGAAAGCTCTAAGCGAGAATCAAACTTGCATATTTCTGCTTCTAGTTTTCAAAAGACATGTGAAGTCTACAAAACCGCATTCGGTAGCGTGGACTATGTCTCGCATTGAGAACAACCTTTCCCAGTAGTTGCGACGTTAAAGAAGCGGAATTATTATTATTACAAATAGACCCCTATCTAGAAATTTAAATTTTAATTACGCAAGCAAGCTGGAATTATATCGTAGCATAATATCGGAAGCAACATTTATTGGAGCCTCTTCATTAACGAACGGATCCATCTTACGCAATAGAAGCTTAGCTAGCTGCAAAAATAAACGATGTATTATATATTTTACATAATTTTTTACACATAATTAAATCATTAAAAAATAAAATCTACAAAACGCTACAAAGAAAATACTATATTAGTAGGTACTCACTGCGGTTTCTTTTATTTTTCGAAATATATTGTTCTACGGAACATAATAAAAAATAGTCATCGATTTCTCCGCCGTGTTAATTGATATCATAATAATTAACAACTAATACTATAGTATTTCTGCGCAAAGTACTACATTGATCTTGTGCCCCTGATTGCTGATTTAAAAAAAAAACTCCCATAAACACACTTTCGCGTAATTCGCATAAGCAACTTACCTCCTTAAAACGCTTCCCCAGGTACCTACTCGTAATGTGTTACTATCTGTTCACTAAATTTGATCTAAGCCGTTTCATCAGTTAGCGTGAAAAAAAAAGACACAGGTATATAAACACGTACACACACCCGCACGTACACACACCCGCACGCACATACACACACACATACACACATACAAACATTCATACAAACTCGTCTGTTTAAATTAGAAAAAATATTTCACGACACTATACTTCCTACTAACCGCTTCGCCTACATCTTCAGAATAGTAATACTTGTGTGAATGTTGCGGCGCGTGCAGCCGGCGGGAGTACTTCGTGCACGGCCCCGCGCCGAACACGCAGGGGTCGTTGGTCTCGAACTGTGGACCCACTACCAAACCACCGTCGTACACCAACCCACTTTCGTTTATAGCTGTTAACCCCCATTTATTATGATACTTTATAGTTATAAATCTAAACAAAATTTTATGTTTTAGTAGTATATTATGTACCTTTGTACTAAACATAAAATTTTGCTTATGCCAATATCTATAAATACATATATTGAAAAAATCGGTCAAGCGCAAGTCGAATTCGCACACGTATTACATAGTACCATTATACATGTACTTTTTATTAATATGACTTTTACTCTATGCATGTAGGTAGCACAATATTAACTTCGATGATTGATTACGAACATTAAAAAAATGTTTCTTATATTTTTTTACATACACTGCGTACAACTCTTTGCCTAATACGGTTCATGAGATTTTGAATTTATCGAACTACCAATGTTCTTCTTTCTTATATTACATTTTTTCTACATATTCAATAATACATAAAACTTATAAAATATGTAAGGAACTCGAAAATAATACATTTTTATATACTCGATATTATTGTAAAATTAATTATACAAGTAAAATAAACATAACAATAATCTTATAATTAATTATTCAATTCTTTAGTTTACCTTTAAAAGCATTTAAATCAATCGCTTTAATTCCATAATAAAATAAGGCAAAGCATGGTAAATGTAGAGCGTGTAATGGCGACATCAACCGGAGAAACTCTACGCGGGATCCCTGCAGTGACCAACCGTGGAAATAACATTGTTTGTACGTTTTAATTCCTAATTTCTCTATACTTGCTTGAACCCTTTCATCTACCTGAATTGTAAAATATGTAATGTCAGCTATTGATAGAATAGAAATATAGGTTTTAGCTAAACATTAGATATAATATAACACAAAATATAAAAAAACACAAGAATATATTATAAATTGTAAATTAGCCAAGTAGTAATATTATTATTTAATGCTATAGTTTCACCCTATGTTTTCTTGTATACTAAATGCTGTAAAATAAACATAATTAAAAATAATTACGTTACATTATATTACTATTGAATTATTCACTTGGAAAAACCTGATTTTACGGTCCTTTTGATTTGTAAAGAGATTAACAGTATGCTAATTCATATATTTTAGTTTGATCTAAGTTGCTTACCGTCTCATTGTTGAAACAATTAACTCTCATAGCAGTACTATCGTCTGGAGGAAAAGGTTCTACGAAAGCAATGTTTTCCGCACTTATCCCAAGCTCTAGCAATGCCGCTATACAACTATACGCTTCAATAAAATCGCCGTATACAACCACTTTATTTTCAGAACTTAAGCATCGGTCAGTCTGTTCTGAAAATATCTAGATATGTTTCAATGGAGTAGAGTTTCAATGGAGACAGTATACATTCAGTATAATCTATACTCGTATAATAAAATTCTAGCCGAGTCAAATCTGTACATTTAATATTTTTTGGAAAATCTTATTGAAATAGTAATTATTATCGATACAGAGGCTGAATCTATTGTTTTTATATTTTTTTATCTGTCACTCTGTCTATTTGTCTGTCTGGGAACGCATCACGAAAAAACCTCTGCACATATTTTGATGAAATTTGGGATGATAATAGCTGGTCAACATATAGGATACTTTTTATTGCAGGAAAATATCTCATCTCTGAGAAATTTATACTAACTGTTAAAACGTACCTAGAGACGAACCCGAGGGGAGCGAAGGTGAGTCGCTAGTTACTAAATAATTACTAATAATATTAAATGTTGATAATAAAAATTATGACTGTGTACTGGCCATCGGTAATTAGCGGGATGCTAATATTGCAAGTGTGATTAGTCTTAGGTTCCTTACACATAGGTACTACAGGAATAATTTTGAACGTTTTTGAACAAAACTATAAACAAACACATACAGCCATGGGCGTAAGTTAGTTAAATAAAACCAAAACAATATGCTTTGACATTGTTATTTATCTATTCGAATTCGCTCATATTGTTATAACGATTGGATGGATTTTAATGAATCCTTTTGCTATACAGGTTATTTGAATAAACAAAAGGTTATCAATTTATTTATGAAATTTGAAAGCACGTGCAGTGGCAAACTAACTTTCAACTAATTTTATATTTAGATGTATAACATACTTGCATCAGATATCATTCGCGTTAGTCTTCTAAGACAGACGTTAGCCTCATATAGATTGTTTATAAGCATCACGTTATCTGGTAAATCCGGTGGCAAAGGAACGCTATCAGGTCGATACTTCGGGTTATCCATAAGAACTCTGTCGCAAGGTTTACCCTTCCTAGAAATAAAATAAATATAATACCGTCCTGATAGCCAAAAACCATGTATTAATAACTTTATTAATCTTAAATAAGAGAATTATCTTAAAATATACAAATTTGATTTGTTTTCAACTAAGATATTACTTATTATTAAGCGAGCTACAATGAAATAAGAATCTTACTCTATTTCTTTAGCCAATTCTATAGCATCTTTCAAATAATCAGGATGTTGGAACTGTTGACCGCACGTCAATATGAGTTCATCATAATACTTAATTCCGCTACCATTCAGGTGAATACATTTTTTCTTCCTATGTTATTGTAAAAATAAATATATTTAATACAACATATGTGTAAAAAAAAGTTTTATATCTCGATTTCTTTCAAATCGTTTCATATTTTTGGTAGAAACGGAAAATAATTGTAATAATGGAATTTTAATAGCAATATAGCGGACTAAGCTCTATGTTCGCTTTCTGCTAGTTTAAAATCGTATTTTTAAAGTAAAATACAAAAAAAAACATACAAAAGAGACAGTTACATCAAACCAATCATTCGAAATTAATTAAAAAAACTGAACAACAAAATCGAATGGTCATATTATAACACATAATATATTTTTCCACTGTCGGACGAATTAGTTTTTACTTTGGTAGAGTTACGAATATGTTATTCAGTAAATCCATTAGAAAGCAATATTTTATGTTTTCTCTATTTTTTTCATAGAAATAAATATATATAAACAAATTGTGGTGGACTCCGATAGAAATATTTTACGAAGCATCTGGCGGCTACGAAAATAAAAAGCATCTGTGATCCAGTTTAAACGAAAATTCTTTTTATGACATTAAAAAAAGGGAGATTTTATAATTTTGGTTTTACAACCAGTCTAAAACAAATAGATTAAAAATAATAATCATAAATAATAAAGTAAAAGGCATGCAAATCCATTCAGCCATTTTAGTGTGAAAATGTAACAAACATTCACACACACACATACTTATGTATATACATAGGATTTTTCGTAACTACATTATTCTTAGTAGTTTTGAAGCAACCAGTAAAAATATGCAAAACTATCTTTTTGGACTTTTCCGCGGATTTAATTTGATTTTTGATTCCTAATTTGATTTTCATTCATGGTCACGTGAGAGACGAAAAGATATATTTAGAATATCAAATATTCGCTGAAATCAAAGAAAGTATTAAAACTTACCTATCAATCTTGACCATAATAGCGGAAATGATATCAACATAGTAATAGAAGGGGACGCGCTTCAGATATCGGTCGGTGTAGCGTCCGTCGCGCGGCACGCACGCGTCGGCAGCGCGCGCGCCGTCGCCCGCCGCGGGCAGCCCGTGCTGAGACACCAGCGTTAGGTTCGTGAATGTCAGGTATTCTGATGTGGGACTGGAATTATATTTTTAACATTTTCATTATCTTTCCTTGTAACTAATAATATCATCAAATTCTATTGTAACCTGTACGTTTTTCGTATCCAAATTAAAACTACAATATATACAATGCACCTATTTGTAGGATTTTAAGATGACAATATTATAGATAATTTGATAGCTTATCTTATGATGGAGCCAGATGGCGGATAGTAGAACTCTTCAGTGGCTATTAGTAAATCCTTCGAGTTTGGGCTCATATCATTCGTTTTAACGAGTTCCATATATTTCAATTCGATAATAACGTGTTTTTTTTTGTTTCTTAAAACTACAATTATTTATTGGTTTGGTAGATGTTAAATAAAAATTATATATTAAAACCTAATCTCTACCAATTGATCTAGATATGCATATATATTTTTTTACTTAATATAAAACAAGTTAAAAACTATGGGCTTAAAAAGCTTAAATTTAAAAACTTAATATTATAATGACATAATTAAATAATGATATAGGATGTCACTAAAAGGTTTATTGAAATGCTATGCCTAAACATGATGATAAAGAAAAGAGGCGATAAAAATTGTAAAGGAAATAATGTTTTAGGGCATCTCATTAAAATTTTCAGGTGTATGTAATAATAAATACTAAATTCCAACAAAATTCTTTTTCTGTCCATGCCGCAGTACTATGGAACCAACTGCCCAAAACCATCCATGAGAGCCCATCTATTCATGTCTTTAAATGTAAATTAAAAAATTATTTATTATCACAAATGTAGACAGTATCTATCAGTACCTTTCACTATTTTCATGTTTTATATATTAAGTATGTATATGTATATATGTATGTATGTATGTATGTATAAGTAGTCTTTACATTAGGTATTATATAAGTATAGTATTATATATTTTTATAAGTAATATATGTACATATGTATGTATGTATGTATATGTGATTATTATTACCTTTATTTCTAGCATATATTTAGTATATTTTTGCACTATATTGCCCGCTGACATCTTCCACAACCAGGGGTTGACTGGAAGAGATCTCTTTTAGAGATAAGTCCACCTTTGTAAACTATGTATACTTTGTTATTTTTTTCTGTATCATATTTTAAGTGCAATAAAGTGCAATAAAAACAAAAATCGAACTACAATATGAAAAAATTACTACTACTTACCCTAAAAGTAACGTTTCTAGAAACGCAAGTCCAGTTCGACTCGCGCCTACAACAACGATGCTATTATTCACGTGGACCTTTGGCAAGCTGGTCAGCGGTCGTTCAATGGTCCATAACGCAAATGGTATAGCTCTATATCATAAATATTAGCATCATTATACGTCTCTAACAAAGTGAACAAAAAGTGACGAATTCCGTCAAAAAAAGTATAAAATGAAACATACAAATTTTGGAATGCATTAGGTATAAACAAAATTAAAGGTAACAGATAGATTTTTAAAATATTTTTTTTACTAATTTTCATTAATTTAAAAGTTTTGTATTCATTAAGTATTTTCAACAACAGTCTAATGCATTCATATCTCTTTTTGTCGACTCTTCTAGTATCAGTGGACGACATATAGATAATTAGACAAGATTAACGCTTTATACTCAAAAGCGTAGAAACATTATAAAAAGAAATAGTTACTGCTAGTATTGTTTTAATTGAGAACTTACATGTCTTTTACAATTTTATCCAGATTTTTATTGCCGATAAAGTAAGGCATTGACCGACGTGGACGTACCGGCATCATATGACTTGCCAACGACATAAGGTTTCGACCGGGGCACTACAAATTTACTCTAAATAATATGAAAAAGGCAGTTTAAAAACAATTAAATTATATTTGAAAATAAACAACTTAGTAGTTATGACAACGTGAATGTAAGGCATTAAAGCATAAAAAAATTGGACACGCTAAAATATAGAATATATAATTTTTGATCTATGATATAATAATAGTAGGGGAGCCCAAGAGGGGATTTTCTGTAGTTACTCGAGCGCGGCAGATTAACATAAAAGAGGTTACCTTGCACTCTATTGAGTACTTTCACCATAATATAAGTCTTCTATATAAAGGGGCGCGTCTAGGGAAGCCGATTAAAATATTTAAAAAATGTTTTGATAAGGTAGAAATACTTGAAACCGTCAGATTAAGGTGTGGTAGGTTAGTCACATCCTGAAAAGTGTCCAATTCAATAATCTGCCGATTTGCACAAGCCGAAGAGGCAAAAATCGACTATAAAGTTTATGATGTTAATCTGCCGCGCTCGAGTAACTACAGCAAATCCCCTCTTGGGCTCCCCTACTATAAATAGCAGAAAATTAAGATCTGAATGGCCAAGGCGAGCCGAGAACAGTCCACTACACTTATGACCCAAAAAATACAAGATACGAAAAACCATTGGACATAGGACATACATATTGTGTGTGTGATTTACCTGTATTAATTATTTTTAATTACTTACATGATCTAAACTCTAGGATAGTGTTCCTATGGTGGTATGGTAGCCGCAATCCTAGAATATTTAATACCTACTACTACCGCTAATAGTCTTTATCTACTGTAGTACTAGCCAAAGTTGTAAGTTACCTTGTTCATTTGATAAGTGTTACGAGTATGTATTAAATGAATAAATGTAAGACTTATTTACCGCATCACCCTTGCCGAAAAGGCGACAAACCCAAAACAGTGTAGTGTACTTTGTTAGACGCATTATATCTCGCATATACCATCGTCCATGGGGTTCCATTATTGGTGACATGACACACGCTAAAATCTGATGTAAAATACAACCGTTATGTTCGCGCTTTTCTGTAGCTTGAATGTTTAATAAAAGTACAAGTATACTTTTCAACGAAAAAAGCATATACGAGTACAAGTAACAAAATCGATCAAAAATTACTAGATACAAATCCCATGCAAAAGTTATCTTAAAACTGTCACCAATTTAGTGTTTAGGTAATTATTCTAGTTTAAATAAATATACAACAATGTAAATTGAACCTTAAATACAATGCTACAAAAAAAATATTAAAAGCGCGCTCAATTGTACAAATGAGCGCTCATTTGGTGAGGACATTTTTTGTCGCTGCTTGTGTATCTAGTACTTTTTTGTTCGACGGTACTTATAATTTTATAGTATGTTTGTATATATATATTCGTTACTCCATGGCGCCCAAACAGCTGGACAGATTTGGATGATACACAGATAGATATAACTAACAAACTGGCGTAACACATAGACTATTTTGAAGTGATTTAATTCGTCAGTTAAATTTTTTGTTTATAATATGAAATAGCAAGTGATTAATTAGTGTCGTGGTAGAGCAATAATCTTTTGTAAGCCACCAAACGTTTCTCACATGTGATGACAGAAATTTATTATTAAAATAAAACCTTACAGATGCGTCTGTTCCAGATCTTATAGGTTCAGCCTCCAATTCATATTGGGTTCTAATTGAGGTAGCATCTTCTAAAGGTCTAAAGTGAAAAAGTAACATAAATATAATTAATTAAAATATTAGCTTGAATCTGATATGTGAATTAAACCACTTAACCGCAACGACATAAAAATATTTTTATATAAATGCAAGACGATTAAGAACTCATTCATACTATGAAGAATATATAAAATTGATCAAACCTCTCTTGCCAACGATCAACATTTTATTTTTACTTATTTCCAAATTTGCTTGTATCCATATCAATTGAAACCTACTTACCCAAGAATAGCTACTCCAATGGGTTGGTTCTGACTAAGTAGAACAAATGAGGAGAGCGTTAGAGACTGTAGACTTTTTTCCAACAACCCTAATAAGTTGTGTTTCCTAGGCGCGTGTTCCAATACGTTGTTTAAATGCGGTATATCGTAAGTTTCGGCTTTACGAACTCTGACATCTCTAAAATTTATAAGAATTTAGGAAAAATCTTGTAAATTAAATAAATAAAAACAAACTCCTATTATATGTAACATACGATACAAGTTATTATTATGATTACTTCAAATTCTCCAGACTTACCCTCTGATAGAGTTAACGTGCGCTACATATAGCGTTTCGTTTATAAATCGCATTCGAAAACTAAAAGGAGTGACGAGCTGAAATAAAACTTAATTATTAAAATAGTCTACTTCTTTGACATTTTGATGGTTTTACATAAATCAATATAATATATATTTAGAATGTTATAGAAATAAGCGTTAGAATACCGTAAAATGTTCTAGTAGTGGAAAACACGTGTGACTGGAAGGAAGGCACATAACACAATAGTCTTTGTCGGGGAAAAGCTCATAAGCTGCTTCAAGCATATCGAAACCATACCTAATTAAAATGACTAAGGTTTATTTACAATTGAATATAACAATATAAGAGTGATGTATTTTTAGCACTTTAGTTTTTAAACAGTTAAGATAAAAAAAGTAAAAGTAGAGCGTAGATATACATAATTATTATACATATATTATTATGTTGTAAACGTATAAAACTCACAAATTAAAATAATACTTAATCTATTATATATCATTCATGTAACTTTTGATATTAATATAATAATTTATTAATATTAAGAGACAGAGATTAAAAAAATCTTTAAATTGCTAAATTAAAATTGTTTGCTTTTTTCCGCGAGTCTTGTGTATACTCCTATAAAAAAATATAATCTTGTTCAATAAATAGTAATGAATAAATAAATAATTTTAAATAATTACTATTTGACATACCTCTCATCATAATCAGGGTGCATAGCGAACATTTCCAAAAGGAAGGCATTAGGCCGACCCAAGTAGCGCGTGAGCTCGGGCGGCTTGAGCGATGCACCCGCAATATTAACGCTCGCATTGGCTACATATTTATTGAAAAAAAAATGTTGAATAAAAATTATCAATTACAACTTTTTTTTCTAAACCTCTTGGCCCAATCGGACCAAAAAAAATAAAAAAATAAACAACTAAAATAATTTTAAAATGACAACAACTTAATACAAAAATATCTGTAATTCACTTACATAGTTCCTTCGGCATATCTTTAATGATATACTTATTTTTAAATACTGACTCTTTCCGATGATGAGCAAGCTCTCCAGAAAATCTGGAACCGTTTAAAATGTCAAAATCGACATTTAGTTTGGCACACTAGTAGTCCAATTAAATAAAACTAAGTTAAAAGTAGGTAATATAAAATATTTCAATAATTTGTTTAGTGGATACTAAAAATAATATAGAACACGACACGAAATTCCATAAAAAAACAAGCTACGTATGGTACGCGCAAGCCCTTAAAAATGTTGATATTTCAATGTTAGAACTGAATTTAAATTATTTAGAATAAATTCGATCTACATATATGTATCATCCCAGCCCACATTACCCTTTGTTGCAATATGAATTACCTTCGTTTTTTCAAGAAGTCATCACTAGTAAACAAGCGAGGTAATCTCAATAAATCCGTATCAATATTTACGATATCATATTCTAACTCATCTTCCTCATCCTCTAATAGATTAAGAATGTCCAACTGAGAATAAGGCAGTTCCTGCGCGCGACTTTTAGTTTCCGATTCTTTGGGAATTTCTTTAAGTTCATCATCGTCGAATAACCACGTGACCTGGTCAAGTTAAATATAAACAAACTCTAAGCTAATTACTTTCAATGCAATCACTCCTCAGTCCTCCCAAGGTGTTAATTTCTATTGAAAGCACTGGTAGAAACTTAATATTAGTAATAAAATATAACAGATATATACTTATTTATTCATATAACGCGGTTTTGTAGATTACAGAGGTGATGATCTATGTCTGATCTATCTATGATGATATATGACAATCTACGATGATGAATCATGTCGATTCGTGCCTTGGTGTAGCGGTATAATTTGTGGGCGACCGCGTGGTGTGAGCCGGCATATAGTAGAAATCCTCCACGACTCTCATTTCGCGCACTTCCTTGAATGTATATGCCTTTGTATGTGTAAAATTAAATATAAGACTTTGTTGTACCTAGTAAAAACATTATACTATTGTATTCTTAGTAATGTTTAGATTTTACGGCTACAGCATTACGCACACGCTCACACAAGCACTCACACGCACGCATATACACATACACACAAACACACACAGCCACGTACACACTAGAATATCTTATATCTGAGTAGTGTAATGTTACCGAAGACAAAATTTATACTAAAGTAATAAAAATTCAATACACACTACACACTCTTAACTTCAGTCTTCAACCACAACAGACCTTGAATTGACATTTCTATATTATATACATACATCAAACACTGAACAGAACAGTATATTAAAAAGTACTTATAGTAATTTTACCCTTGATTTGACATCTTTCGCCGGTATCATTTCCGCATTCGAATTTCGCCGTGATTCTATATTGCCAACCGTTGTAAACACGCTATTAAATAAAATAAAAAAAATAATGATTGCTTAATTGCTAGAAAATAAACATTTTTAGCAAAGCAATATTACGAAAACAAAACCTCCATTATATAATTATTATTCATTTAAGACAGGATAAATTAGTAGTGTTAAAACATAATACTTAATTGATAAATTCGCAATAAAGCAGATATAATATAGGTAGGTAATATACGAAACCCAAAACTAAAGAATTATATAGACGGAACCCGCCGAAGTAAATGGCAAAGTCAAAAATAATACCGTCATTTGCTGTTTACACTTCTACTATTCTTGATTTTTCCATACAGATTACAGATCGTTTAAGTTCAAAGGCTAAAGGAAATTTGATACAGGTATTAATTAACATACATTTTTTGGGAACAAAAAAAGAATGAATTTTTTTAAGCATTACCTAGCTCTCTTCCCCTTGAAAGAGAGAAAACATATTATTAGCTTATGTATTTTATTTTATTTATTATAATAAAATCCGTTAGCTATTTTTGTTAATTACCATTTATTTACTTATGACTATTGTCATTCGTACACCAACTCTTTTAAAACATTATTGTTTGCTTTCATGTTTAGTTCTATAACACTCTGTCTATATTATTCTTTCATCTAAGATACGAAATATAAGTTTGATGTAATATGGGTACCTTGATCCAGAATCAAACTCTGTAGGTTTAGGGTTAGGTGGCGTATCAATATGTTTTAAACCAGAGAAAGGAGAAAGCTCAAAGCTCTCTTCGAGCTCTTCGTAATTAATTTGTGTATTGAGACACATAACACCCACCGCTAGTTCTTTATGCTAAATATTAAAAAGAAAACAAAGTACACTTTTTCACATGTCTATTATAATAATTAGATATATATAAAGAAAAAGATTATTAAATCTATAGATATTTCAAAAGTTAAATTCGATTATCGAAAAAAATTTTTTTGACAAGTACCTATGTTACTGTTATTTAAAAAAAATCATTAAGAAACATTTATTTTGTCATACTAAAGATTCCTGATATATCAAAGAGACCAAACCTCGCACACAAGTAGAACTCTTTCGGATTCAGGATGACGGGATATTAATTCGCTAACATAGAAGTCACCGTATAACTCACGAAGGCGAGCCGAATGGCGCTCAATTATTGGCACTATATCGTCGTTATCTTCTTCGCTATGATAAGAAATAAAATCTATCAAAATAAGTTATATTATTTTTGTCCTCCTGGACGATTTCGGAAACAGCGCTCTATCTCACTGATTACTGAAACTAGGCAGGGGAGTATATTATAATTTATAGAGCAACAGATCATACAAATCTATACATATAATAAAATTGTAACTAAGCCGAACCTGTACATTAAATATTTTTTGGAAAATCTTATTGAAATAAACATTATTATTGATACAGAGGCCGAATCTATAGTTTTTAGAATTTTTGTGTCTATCTGTCAACAGACAGACGGGTATTTTTTGCGATTGTTAGTTACCGCATCACACCAAAACCACTGGAGGGATATTAATGAAATTTGCTAAGATGATAGCTGGTTATCCGGGTCAATATAGGATACTTTTTACCGCGGCAAAATATCTAATTTCTGAGAAAAAATGCAAAAACTGCAATGCAATAGTATACTAGTCTGTAAAGCCTAAGAATTTGGTTTTTGGTCATCTGAAAGCGTGCGGAGCCGCGGGCAATGCTAATAGAAAAATAAATAAGCAAATCAAAGCCGCTCGATATCATCAAGTCTCCAAAATTTACAAAAATCATATTTTTTTATAAAATTTTTGAAATTATCCATTTTTGCGTTTTAGGTTGGGGACTCTACAAAAACGACAAATGGTCTTATTTAATTGTAATATTATTAAGAACTTTCACTCTTTCATTGCCCCGAGGCTGTGGAATGAGGACAATTCTATAGCGTAAGGATGCCCTACGGAAGGCTTTACGTACTGCTCTCCTTACTTCCTATCTCCGGGTTATTACTATTAATTATTGACAGGCGCACCCAATAACTATACTCGGCCTGATCCGAGACTTGAAGCCAGACTGTCAAGGTCGGCAGCCCAGACCCGCTAAAGGATTGGGACACATTAACATTACGAATTTCAAAGTAAAATATAAATGAATTTCAATGAAATCAATACTTTTGTCTTTTAGGATCATGATTATATACATTTTTCCACGTGAGCAGAGCTAGCAAAAACTAGTATGTAATAATGTAAATAAAAAAAAATACAATTTAATTAAAACAAAACAAAAGCAGCGTGATGTTATAAACCTATACAAATTATAAGATTAATTAGTAATGTTATAAAAATCTAACACGGCTCTTCGTATTCTCAATCTCGGACTGACGTCCTTGCGGTCGGCGACCCACAGCGAGGGCAGCTGGTCGCCGGTCACCCCGCGCTCCAACACCTGTATACGCTTAAAAGCAGCTTCGGCGCGTGATTGGCCTGGCACTAACACTAAAAGAGTTTATACCATATTATACCATAAATAAAATTAAAGTGTCTGTAATGTCAAAATAACAGCTTTTTATTAAATGTAAATGGAATTATATAAGGTATTTATAAGAAAAACACAATTTTTTTAAAAAAAATCTCTCTGTCTGTTTGTTCCGGCTTGTATGTGTGTGTGTTTGTGACTTCATCACGCTAAAACTGCTGGAAGTATTTGGATTAAATTTAATAGATTTATGTAGATAGAAGAGACTATAACCTAGCATCTAAGGACGGACCCAAGCAAAGAGAGGGTAAGTCACTAAGTTATAATTATTCCGCTCCCGTTCGTTTTATCGACAAGACCGATTTCAAAAAGATATATTTCTTTATGTAAGTAATACTCCAGTTTAAATCTGAGGCTATAACAATTATCAGAAGAAAAACAGCTTAAAATTGTACTTACATTGATTATTAATTAATGATTTCATCATTCCAATAAACTGTACATATGGGTCGTGCATGAAAACTGACTTCAACATACTATCGACAACTTCCCGTGCATAAGCTATGTTCCAACATAACAAATGTATAAAAACAGTGTTCCGTGCATTTAACTCTATGGCTCTAAAACAATTTGACCAATATTTTGTTTAATTATTATATAGTCCAACCATACATAAAATTTCCAATCACACCATACATTAAAAAAAATACTTGAATTTATTCCAAACAAAGTCTTCCCAAGACGCAGGATTAACAGACGGTACCAAAGGAAAATCTTTCAAGGCTAAAAATCCAACTATTGTTTCGTTAATGTCTAGCTGGCAAATTGAGAGTATACATGTTTCACTGAAAAAAGGAGAGCAAGACTGTACATAAAAAAAATTTTAAGCAAAATTATCTTTTCGGATTTTTGTGCGTAAAATATCGAAAAGATAGGTAGTTTTGTTAAAAATTTCAAATAATCGCAAATATATTATTATTAAAAAGAATTATTATTATTCTTTTTTGTAACAAGATTTTTTGTTTTATTCTAGTCGAATTCGAACATTCTGCACATATAGTTTGTTTGTATTGAACATACAGATTTTTATTCAGGTTATCTATACATATAATAAAATTCTAACCGAGTCTAGAGTTTGTACATTCAATATTTTTTGAATTTTTTTTTTTGAAAAAGTCATTATTATCGATACAGAGGCCGAATCAACAGTTATTCGATTTTTAGTTTGTCTGTCTGGGAACGCATCACGAGAAACAACCACAGAGGACAGATTTTAATGAAAGATGATGATATGACGACGGTTATCCGGGTCAACATATAGGATACTTTTTACTGCGGGAAAATATCTCACCTATGAAAAATCTATACTAACCGTTAAAACGGACCTTGGGACGAACCCGAACGACGCATGGGGCAAGCAATGACACTATGATACATTATACTAGTATAAGAATATATGCATTTCTATAAGAAATCTATTACAAAGATATCTTATAATAAAAATTTATTTTCTTTACATAAGATATGTGACATCATGCGGAACATTTATCCGAAAGTTCATGGCCATGGATTCAGTTACTAAGCTCATTATTGCCGGGACGTCATCTTTGTCTGCCAGTCTTAAGCGCCCTAATGGTACAGTTCGTAACACTCTTGACACCATTGTGGCTTAACTACGGCCAAATATATATTAATTTATATATATAGTCACAGAAAATATCTAATAGAATCAAAGAAAGTGAACATGTGTTAATATTTTGTGAGCAGAATAAACAACAGCAATATTTTTTTTATGACAATGTCAGAATATAAAAAAGAACTGTAATATGTAAAAGTTCTTATACTCACAATCAGATTAAATGAGCAACATGTAAAACAATAAAAGTGAAGCTAAACCCCGACACTGCGAACTCTGGAGAGGATTACTTTACAAATATATGTAACACAATTTCATTCGTAAATAAATCCTCATGTACCTACCTCATGCTTAGTGTATCTTAGCTACTTAAAATGATAAAATCAAAAACCAATTCGTACTGACTTATGTTTATTTAATATCCTTAAATTCAAACATTACGAATGTTAGAAATACATAGAACATAATAAATTGATAAAAGCATCCAGCTCGGGGCGTCTGAACTTTGAGCTTACACTTAACGATAAAAAAAACACTTGATAACTAAACCGATCGATACACTTAATATACAGAACACAATATAATAATAAAAATAATTTATTTTTTAACAAATTTCCTACTAGCTCTAATAAGCATCAATAAATAAAATGACTTCATTGTAGTGGATTTCTTTGGAGTGATTAGATTATTTGCTGTTGAAATAGATAGACAATTACTTATTCTCCACCGTCGGGTCGTCGTAGTTAGGTTGTGCTCGCGGAAACACGAAAGAAATTCCATATTTACATCAAGATAAAGAAACCCAATACCCAAAACTAAAAACTATTTAGATACTAAAATAGACATCAGCTAATTAAACTAACATTACGAAAATGTTGAAAAATAAATTAAAATTGTAAAATAATTATTGCTAAATCAATTGTCCATATTACGATACCATAATTCATTTTTAAAGAATGTCAGTGTCATATTATTAACAAGTTGTTTCGAAAAGAAATGTAACTGTGATCATATAAAAATTATATTTCGCGAATAAATTACAATTATAGGGGCCGAGTGATCAAATCATGATAATTAAAGAGGACATAAAACTTACGCGTAATATAGAAATAAACGTTTTAAAAATATTGCTTAACTCAACGTTAGGCGGAATAATCCGAATGTATATAAATAATAATTTCGCATTATAATGTTTTCCGAAATTATTTTATTTAGAACATTGCGATATTGATATTCAGTTCAAACTGCGTTATATACAAAATTACAAAGAACCATAATAACAAACTAACGGATACGGTAACCACATCTTCGGCACGACCTAAACTCATCTTATCCGTGATGTACGCACAATAAAACTAACACAAATCACCGTAGTATTGAATTATATGCATTGAGTAACAGCAACAAATATAAATTATCATTATTTGTTTTAGCCTTTATCATGTTACTTTGCTTTAATAAAAGTCTCACAAATCTTATCTATCATGCAAATATCACTTATTAGTCAAACTCATGTAATCCAATATGCAGTAACAATTATACTTACACGTAATCGTATTAAAATCAATTACAATAAAATATAGGTAACTTAAAAGCTACGATAATTTGATTCATTAATACTAAGAAAGTGTAACTCCCTAAGTCACTTATGTATCAAGATGTCTTTTAGGTGTACAAAAATATCATCAATATTTAATATTATTTTTATCTACATTATAAATCTGTATTTACGATTAAAAATAACCATATATCGAGACGAGAGAAAACATTATGCAAGTGGGAAGTTGTTTGAATGTATCCTCTGCTTCTAAATGATGTTATCATAGAAAATAAGAAATAGTAACTATTTAGTTTCTTATTTTCAGTTCATTGTATTCTTAAAAGTCGTTGCTGGAAAATTATATTTAAAAGCAAAATTTATAATACGATTTAGTTATACGTACAATATTAAAACTATGAATTTGAAAATTATTATATTATTTGTGAAGAAATGAACTAATTTCCTTACAATAATTTTTAACTTAAATCTTTTTCAAAAAGTAAAAAATGCCTAATACAATCTACATTTGTTTTGTGCATTTTTTATTTTCGAAAAACGTGTGACGAATTTGCTTGATGCAACAATTATCACATGTATTCAGTTAAAATATTAAGGTTATCATTAAATTATTTTAGTTAACTTTTGAGAAAAAATTTTACCTAATTGAGTATCGTCGAATAAAATCTGCCTAAATGTAACTAAACTATAAAAACTAGAAGCAAATAGGATATAATAAAAAATCCGTATCACCGACGAATAAGTTGCTAACTCCAAAAAGGTTGGGATAATAAAAAAAGCTTTTCATTTGAATTTTTAAAAGTAGTAACAAATTATAAACATTTTAAAAAAAGTTTTAGAGTTAGTGACTTATATCATCATTCACAATATAGTACAAGTAACAGTCTACTTACAAAGTTTATATTCATTTTTTTCAGAATATTACTAATATTACACTATGTATATATAGTATAAGCATGCGAGTACATAGAAAAGTGTGTTTAAGGCAAGTGGACTATGAACATAGTGGCCAGGTCATAGCATCAATTTTTCAAACACCATTATGTCTAAAATGTTAACGATATTCGTAAATGAAGACTAATTTCATACTATAGAATATACTATAATACTATATAAGCATGGAAGAATTGATAGCTATCTTCCATCCTATATAATATTCGAATTCCATTAAAACACGCAATAATGGTTAATTTACTCTATATTCCCAGTCAAGGAAATTCAACCTGGCAGCACTAGGACTAAAATAAACCTTATTTGTTGTGTCTATCACTAAATAAACTTCAGAATGTATAAAATTCACACCTAAACATTATTTCAGTTTTATCAATATCTCGATTTCATTCACTCTAACATGGTCACACTGAAAATCAATTGTATTTCAACATAAGCATACGTGACGTGTATTTTATATTTTTTCTTTTATCGAGACTTGCTTGTATGTCTTATATCAACTATTGTGTAAGACAACACAATATTACCTATAATACAACAGCTTACGAAAGCGATATTAATCATTTTACAGATAGTGAAGAATCATGTTCGTATCGCACAATGCAATTAATACAATATTTACAATACAATTGTACGATATGTACATTTCTTCTATCTAGCTATTATACTTATGAATGTTTGAGAACAATTATTTTTAAACGTTTTATATGAATAAATGTTTATACATATTTGTACAAAAGGAGAAAGTTATCTAAGTATAAAATGATGGAATTATCGTTAAATGTAATAAGTCATGGTTTTTATAAAGTTAGCTATTATGAAAATATATTACTTAAAATTGTTAAAACTAAAACGTCGTTATACGTTAACTTATTATGATCGCGTATATATCAAAGCTTTTATCTTATCTAGACCTTATTTATATGTATTTACAAATTATAATTCCATTCCTAAAGCGTATACCTTACACTTATTCACTATTCCCAACATATTATATATACTTTTGCCAATCCTTGATATTCTCATAAAGAAATTAATTATTTGAGACATCAAATAAGATTAGTTTACTTCCACGTTTTTACATAACGTTACCCCAATTGTGGCAACTTTTTTTATATAAAAAAGAAAATCACTTTTCCAATTTCCTTGTGCTCTATATCTTTGTTCAACATATGAATATTTTGTCAATTAAATCATTCAAATAAAATTTCTCTATAATACCCATTCTGTAGTAGTATGTCTTATATTATCTAGTGGACGAAATCGAAATGTACTTTAAATTAAATATTTAAGACATCTATTATTGCTTCGAATATAAATTACTTTTTACTTTAAATATTCCATAACAACATGGTCAGACATTTTTTAAAAAAGGAATTGTATTGTTTGACAAAGTTATAATCATTTTTGAAGTTATACTTCTTTTGGCACGTTTGGAAAAAAATATGGGAGTAAAATTTTTATGATGCGCGCGCACACCGACAGCCAAAAATCGACATGATGAAATTAGCTGAGAGCGACATGATGAATTCCTTTTACAAACAGAGTTGTGACATACGGGATGAAATCTTTAGCTATTTTTGTTCTTTTACGGCAAAGAAGTATAACTTCTTACGTGCGTACATAAGTACATACACGTGGACAGAAACATACATTTCAATGACTATGGTTTAACTGTGTCCATTGTTATTCGATCATTCTTTTTACATGTCCTACCCAAATATTTTTTTCCAGAGCATAAAAAAATGAATAATAATCTTTTACGTATATACAATTAAGAGACGGAAAAATGTAGGGTTAACTACACGTGAAAGGGATCACTCTCATCGAGAAAGATTAAGGCGACTTCACACGCGACACGAGTGTATTCTCGTCAGTTTCACACTTATTTACTAAGTATTTTTTTATGAAAAAACCCTTTTTATTAGCCTTATTGTACTCAAACCCACGGTTAGCCACCAGACCTTACCGTTACATCGCTAGTATTTATCTAAAGTAAATCTAAAAATTGATTCAATAATTTAGAGGGAAACATGTTATTATGGAATACCCTTATTATGATTTTTATGAAAGGCGATCAAATAATCTCTTGTTTTGTGAACATTATAATCATGATTGTATGAGCTTAATTAATTGATAATAAATATGAAAAAAGTAATGTTATTATCATTATAAAAAAATTTAGATCAACAAAATACTGCAATATATATTTGTTAATTTTATGATTACACACTTTTCACGCAATTTAATGTACCAGCCGCATAATGGTATGATGCTGCTTCTAAAGAGATGGGAATAATTTGCCAAGCAAGCACACCTTAATTGAATGTTCATATGGTTTTATGACATCAATGCATACAAATCCCATACTCAAATGTAACAAAAGCGTATTGTAAGCACTTTATTTGAATTATATAAATATATGTTTATTTGATTTTAAGAATGTCACTTGCTAGTGTAAAGTGAATGGGCAACTATGTGTTAAAGCAGAACATGTTTAATAAATAGAAACTTCTGTTTTTATTTCTGCCCCAATGCATAGATAATTAAATTCATACTAAGGAGCTAATGCGATCGACGCAGTCATCAATTGGTCTATGGTATATTTGTACAACATAATATGAGGCCAAGTTTAGATGATCGCGTTGCTTCACCGTGAAATGTTACGTAGGCGGTAATTATATATTACTATTAATTATATTATTAGTATTCTAACATCTATAGTGATATGTCACTAATCATTTGGTTTCTAATGTATATCGGAACTTGCGATGAGTGTGTGAACTTCTCGCAATCATATAAACTTAGCCTAAAGGTTGTTTGTAGATGTATGTATGATTGTTGTTTGTAGCGCGCGAGTCGCTGAGGCGGGCGGGGTATGTGGGGCGATGTGTATGAGAAACTTTCGGACAATCATGTAAACTTAACCTATAAGGTTGCACATGTGTATGTTTGTGTATGATTGTTTATTAGCGCGCTAGTCGCTGGGGCGGGCGGGGAGGTCGGCGTGGGCGGCATCACTTGGCTTTGTGCTTGGGCGGCGTGGTGGGCGGCCCGCCCTGCTCCGCCGACGCTCCTATTGCTACTCCCTCACTGTCTACTTCTGTCTATAAATATTGAGACATCATTTATTAAGGATTAAATAATAACATTTAATAATGTTACACATTTATTAAACATTGCACAAATGAGCAGGATTCGAACCCGCTAATCCCTGCAGATATCGAAGGTTGTATCAAAGGAAGTAGATATGTATAGGAGCCGTTTTTAGATGCTTAGCATTATCACGCTCCGGAAACATTCGGCGACTGTTCTAGATATTTTAGGAGATGATTTTTTTTATAATTATTCTTGTGTATTAACAGAAGAGTATTGTGGATTTTTGTGTTATTGCTAACCTCTTGCAAGTAACGAACTAGATGGGAAGGTGAGTGAGGGTTATATCACATTCTGCTTGTACGCCAGGACATTGGACTAAAACATGCATCACAGAAAACACCATTGTCTTATTTTTTTACGTCTTACATAATGATTTTTATTTTGGTCATAATATATTAAAAAAATAAAAATCCTTTAATACTGTACTATTGGTATTCATTCATTTTACTTACTTTCTCTTCTTTTGTGTTGGTTTGTGGAGAATTTGTCCCATTATTGGCATTACTGCTATCTACATCATTCTCTGTAGACTCTGTGCCAGTAGCACCTAAAATAAATTATGAATTGAGTTTTTATTCAATTTCAACATTCTTAAAAAAATAGAAACATCATCTATACTAATATTATAAAGAGGTTAAGTTTGTGAGTTTGTGATGTTGTAGGGGGTAATCTCTAGATGTACTGAACCAATTTAGATGAAATTTGGTAAGAAGATAGTTTGAGAGCCGGGGAAGGACATAGGATCTTTTTATCACATTTTATCCGAGACTTTTTATCCCGTAAATCATCCTTTAAAGGGGTGAAAATGGGGATAAAAGTTTGTATGGGGAAACAATCTAGGGACGAACCCGAGCGAAGCGAGGGTGAGTCGTTAGTATATAAAAACTTTTTAGCAAAAAATAAATACCGACTTCCAGGCACTAAAATGTAAAAAATAACTAAACGGAGGTTTTCATTTAGAATAGATATACCTAATCAGATATTTTCGAAGTCAGAAACAAAAAAAACCCAAATCGGTTCAGGTGTCTTCGAGCAATCGGTGATCATGCATAAAAAAACGAATTGAGAACCTTCTCCTTTTTTTAATTGGAAGTCGGTTTAAAATTGTTTAGTATTAGTTATTAAAAATTAGTTTTTAAGCCTACATCATTTCTAAAACTAAAGATTTTTACAATTTCTCTATGAGCAGAAAAACATTGGTTTTTATTTTAGAAAACATAACTAGAAAACCCCTAAAATACAAGAAGGATAATGCCATTCACCATTAATTTATAACACCATTAAATTAGCGCCTATTCTTATTACGTATGTATAATGTATATACAACGTTTACCCGTAGATCCGCCCGCGTAGTACACTAAGTATTACTATAACTTATGTAGGTATAACTGCGTCGGTGGTCCTGGGTACGAGTTTCGGGTCGGGCCAAGTTTAGTTATTGAGTATTTGTCAATAAATTCTCAATAACAGCCCGTGGTTAGGAAGTTGACTGTGTTTCACCCCAGTGCTTCGGAGAGCACGTGTCACGTTGCTCCTGTGTCTTAACTCTCACCGGTCGTTTCGAGTAGTCGTCCCAACGGTGTATGAGAGTGACAGGAATAAAGAGTGCCCTTTGTGACAGATAGCTAGTCTCAATGAGATTGGCAGCCGTGGCCGAAATACGTTGGGAGGACATTATTATTATTACTATATCTTTATAAATTATAGCCTAATTGTTACTTTGATGTATAAGCTATATTACTGTAAAGTTTAGTGCTGTTTGCGTAGAAAAGTAACAGACATACATCCATACATTCTTATAAACTTTCGCTTTTATAATATAGTAGGATACACTGATAATTACCAGCTTGTATATGATTAGCGTTGCCACGGTCTGCTTCGTGTTCTCGCAACACCGCGTCCAGGTTGTACCGGCGGCGGTACGAGATGAAGAATGTACGGATGTGGGCTTCTGTCTTCGTGCCTAATGTCTCTGCGATCGCTTGGAAGTCTTTACCTGTTTGCATTAATAAAATTAGTATTGTGAATGGAAATATATTTGAATGAATGACTTATTCATTTATTTTGATAATTTATTTATTTTATATTGGTTCAGAATATAATATAATAATAGTTTTGCTTTATTTTGCTTTATTTTATAAAATAATATTCCTTACATGAATGTCAAGATTAAGAATTTCAAGTAAATTAAAACTCACAAAATTAATCAATTTTACCATATTTCCTGACAGCAGTGACAGCCATGAGTAATTCGTCATTAGTCCACCGTGAGTTTATCTTTGCTGGGGGTTCCCCAGGTCGGAGCTCCTCCACTCCCGTGTCCCCTACTTTGCGTTTCATCGCACTTAATTGTTGTTTGTTCTGTTGTACCTAAATGATAAATATTTATAAAACAATGTTCATGAACGTAAAATACCAGCAATTTCTTCTATTAATAAATATTAAAGGCCAGGCAGGACGGGGTGTGCGTATCTGGATCATCCAAATTAACAATTATCAAGATTCGCAGGACTCTCGCTGCATTAACGTAAAGTTATCATAAAAGCTAGTCAACAAAATTAATACAAAAGTATGGGGTATGTGTGCAGAATATATTTTGTTAAATCGCCTAATGCATTTTTGAAACAGCACTACAACTCTTATGCAAACGGTTTTAATATCACATTCTCCACATTACCATACACAAAATTAGTAAAATCCAGGTTATATAAACATCATTCGTCAAGCTACAGAGAGATAGTACACGGGCGACAAATTTGCAGTCACTTGGTCGACTGTACGTTCGTACATTCGCCGCGATTTTTTTTAATTTCCACACAACAATCTTCACAAATTTCAAACGTAAGATATAGCTAACGTAAATGGAAGTCGATTAAATAATAACATAAGCCATCAAAACTACTGCAATTTTGCAATCCGTGGCACCTAGGCATCGGTGACGAGTAAGGGTGAGAATGTGAACTACATAGCATCGGGTTGCCGATCTTACTTGTCTCTTGAGCGAGATAACCTCCCTGTCCATGGCCTTGAGTAGGGCTTCGCCCTGATTGACGGAGCCGGGCTGGGCGGGTTCGCCGGGCTGCGGGCCGGTTGCCATGGCAACGAGATCGTCGTGATTGATGTAAATGCCGCGCGGCAGGCGGTGCTTGTACCGCTGCTGTTTAGAGCCGGGCCCGCGTCGCCCGGACGGCCCGCACAACGGTCTCATCGTGCCCGTGCGTCTGTCACATCATCGTTCGTTCAAAATCGCACGCCCACATCCCTACACACCTAATGCAGTGCCGGCTTTAGTTATATGGTGCTTTGGAAAATATTTAGTCCATTCAGATGTTTCTCCTTCACCTTTATTTAAGTTTTTATAAATTATTATTTTCAACCCTAAAGCCGGTACTGACTCATTATAATCCCTTAACATCGATAGAAATAAATCGATTCATGCACTCTATATCAAGTTTAAGTTACTTTCAACTTATTGTGTTAGAGATCAATATTATTGAATATATTTTCGCTATGTAATGTACAAAGCGAGTGACGTCATTAATTGCTCGGTGGAAACCGGACAATGCTTCTGATTTAATATAGAATCAACTTTTCATAAAATATGATAAATGTCAGCTCCATTCTAATTTCTTTTTAAATGTAAAAAAATATATTTCTATTCCTATAACCGACAAAAGTAAAATTATACTACAAATATGTAATTTGTTAGGGCTACAAAATTAAAAAAAAATTAAAAAAATCAATGTTAATCCCGTACGTAATCTGTTAATTCAGGGCGTACGAGTTTCAAATGAGATGACATTAATGAATATTTACCGACCTGGCGTGCACGAGGCATGCCTGGCACAATTTGTGCGAATTGTGCGCCGTGGTCTGCGAACAGAGAATGCCGCACACCGTACACCACTTGCCCGCCTCGCCTCCGTCTCCCTAAACCCCAATATACAGTTTACTATCACAAAACCCAAACACTAACCTAGCCCTAACCAAATGTACTCCTAAAAACAACAACCCATATGTACTCCTCACATACTTCTTTTAAAAACCCGTAAGATTTAAACGATATTCTGCACACATTTTACAACAATCCTGGGGGCCGTTAAAGGAAGCATGCGGGGAACTGGTGGGTGATTGAGGAACAGGTATAGGTGCTATATTATTAGTTCATCACTAAGAATATTGCACACGTGAGTTTGTGCACATAAATAGAAAAAAATAATTAAAATATAATATTATTTAATTTTTATTTAATAGTTACTGTCCTCCTGTTGGTAATAAATATTATAAATCAAAATATCTAGTCAATACATAACTGATATATATTTAATATAAAATGGGATGAAAACAGGAGATAACACTTTTCATGTCTTAATGATAAAGTTGAAAGACTGATTAGTTATAAATGAATAAATGAGCATGGTAATAGTCAATTCGTAGATAAAAATGCAGAGCAGTTTAACTAAATAAGCAAAATAAACAAGCAGGCAAATAAAATGTTTCATTAATAAAATATATAGCAAGTGGCTATTTGAATGAGATGTTTTTAGTGTTTTGTTTTTTGTATGCTTTAACATGGTCATACAAATTTTCACTGAATCCTTTTGGTTTATCTTAGTCTTTGCAAGGAATTTTACAAATATATCATCATCTTACACTTATAGTGTTTTTTTAATGTAAATTAATACATTTTTAAAGTCGGAAAATAAATATATTGAATGATGCATTGTTAATATTATGAAGCATTAAAATGTTTCAATTAACTTCAGTTCAAACTATGAGTGAAATAATTATATTATCATATAATGGAAATTAATAACAAGAAATGAAGCAATGCTGCCACAATTCAAATGTAAATGAAAATAACTGTATAACTAGTGCATCTATGGAGTGTGGCAATGCAGCCAGAACATCAACTCTGATTAACATCAAATGGATGACAACACACTGATAAACAGAGAAATTTGAAGACATTGAACATCCAGTGGGGTACATGACAAAAGGTTTTTTTTTTATCTCATTAAATATTTCATAACAATTTCAATTAAAATACATTATAGAGATCTCTCTCTCTCTTGTTCATAACACAACAGTATATGTAGAATGCAATATTTCATTTTTATAGATGAAGTTTACATTCAGTGTAATTTAGTAAAGGTTCTTTCTGAAAGTTTTGTACTTAGATTATTATTTACTAGTAGAATTCTATTACCATAAGTAGTTCTGAATTTTTTTTGGCTCTTTATAGAAAAAAAGTTTTATTATATTTTCATTGAGCATCATCTTTTAGTAATAAATTCTCCAAATAGTCATGTACCCCGAAAACATAGAATGATCATACTGCGGGAAGCGAAGAACCCACCTCGCCATGTTGGCCGCGAAGAGAAGGCCCGCCGGCCGGCAGTGGCTTGCCTCCGCGGACTATACCCCGGTGTAAAGTCCACTTCTGTCATTACCAACATAATATCCATCACATGTACTATACATACAACCCACCTCTGGCAAATTTCTCAAGTCTTAACTTACAATTGAACTTTAACATTTGTTATCTCATTTGTGTATTCAATGTAATGCCAAAATGAATGTATGCTATTTATAAAAATGATCTACTCTGCATTTCTATTTACTAAGCCACCAATGACTTGTCTAAGGGCAATAATCGTTGGACAATCCAGATACACTGTTTGAATTTACAAAGGATTATTAGCCTTTATTATATTCATGACAAAATGATTCCGCATACTAAACAAAAAAGGACCAAATATACTTCAACAAAAGCTAAACCAACAAAAATAATAGTAGTAACATACCTTTTCATCATTATCAGAATCTTTATCAGAACCCCCAGGTTCTGATCCTGCACCAGACTCTCTTTTGCCAGTTCCAGAACCAGCAGCATTACGACCTTCACTTACAACATCCATTAATGATGTTCTTGACCTTGTTTTCTTCCATGAGTAGTAGTATTTAACAAGTGATGCTATTGATTTATCTGGCAACTACAACAAAAACATGTAAATTATAGGTGATTATGAAAAAGTATACATGACAATCTTTACTAAATCAAACACACCATTTGTCGTATTCTGTGAAAACTCTTGCCATGGAACTGAAAAGCTTGTTCAAACAATACTTTATCCTCAACTGTCCACTCATCAGGAAAAGGTGTGAAGTTTGCAAGATCCATTGATGCTCTGTTGAGATCATGCTTATGCCAAAATAGCATTCCAAGTGCTTGTTCACCATTATAGCCATATTTTTCCTTTGCAGTTGTAATGTATTCATCCACTAAAAAGAATAATGTTGATTTAAATGATGAACTAATAACAATCAACTCAGCATAAACAATTTTACTTACATTTAATATCAGAGATATCAGAAGTAGGTGACCAAACAAGTAAGGCTCTGTCAGATATTTGATCAGGTCTCCTCTGCTCCAAAGGTTCTAGCTCAGGACACACAGCCTGGTAATCTCGACCCACTCTTATCTTTTCAGCTGCAAATGGCACTACTGCTTGGTTTGGTGTTACATGTGTTGATGAGATGAGCGCAGCATGAAGGCAGATGAAGAGAAGCATAAAAATAAAGCATGATATGAGTTTGTTAGATATATCCACGGCGATTAATCAAATAAGCTGCTTATATATTTTAAGACGACTTTATGCAGTAATTTTTAGCGTATGTTTGGACTGCACAAAATTTTAATGTACCAATGTTATGCCGTAGGAAGCCCATAATATACCAACACAAAATATAAACCCGCCTCATTAAAATATAAGCCTTACCATTTTCATCTTCAGAACTAGAATCAGGGCTACCGTGACCATTCGGGCTTGGCCCTCTAGAACGCTTCCCGTTTCGAACATCATTGCTTCTTTCAGCCAAAACCATGATTAGTAAGTTAACACACAATCACACACAAATTCACTTGTTTACTACAAAATTAAAAAGTTCATTGATTAATTCTTTATATTAACGCTAATGTATGACCAATAAAACTATATCCGAAGCTTCGCACTTCAATTCAAACGTGATTCAAACCACCGCATCAATAATCTGACAAACCAGCTGAAGACTGTAATGGTTCCTTTCGAAGCGTCTGTACATCAGGCATTCACTTTTTAGTGATATACAATTTATTATGAAATATGATATATAATAATATTCATGAAAATATTTATGTTACTTTATATTGATATTATTATGCTAAAATTTAATATTGCTAAATACATTAAAATATTAATAATAAACAATGTAAAGTATAAAAATTATATATATTTTTCAATTTGGCAATACCAAAAGTACAGACAGTTGAAAATTAATCGAGGCACAATCCAATTTTAATGTCTTATAAAACGCTATCTTCCTTGTAATAATAATCTTTGCTATAGTATTTTAGCAATACAATATTGTGTATAGTTGTTTTGATTGCCATGTTAGCGTAAAGGGAAATAAACCTTCATAATATTTTTCTTCCTGTTTTATATTTGAATAAGAGATGGCGCTTTAGTTAGTAACTATAATATCTAAGTTCTATTGTTATGAAATTACTTTTTTATAACTTTTAAATCTTCATATTATTGAAAACGTAGATCAACTTAAATAGCTATAATATTATACCTACTTGTTGCTTATTTAAACGCACCAGTATTTGTGTTACCTAATGTAATTTACATTTATAGATACACAAAATATTGCAACGTTTTTAACTTAAACAGGCAATATAATATGTATAAGTAATTGATCATTTTTGACACGTGTGCCTTTTAACAACGACAACTGCCGCTTTAAATTATATTTTATAACATTTAACACAATGACAAAATGGAATACTGTACCTACGCTAAAAAATCAAAACAATTAAAGTATTCCTTTTATAAAACCTATTCTTTGTAAAAAACATGGAATATAAATACAACCATCCATAATCTATACATATATTAAAATTGTAACTAAGCCGAATCTGTACATTAAACATTTTTTGGAAAATCTTATTGAAATAGACATTATTATCGATATAGAGGCCTAATCTATAGTTTTTAGATATTTTGTCTGTCTGTCTGTCTGTTACCGCATCACGGGAAAACTACTGAAGGGATTATCATGAAATTTGGTATGGTGATAACTGGCTATCCGGGTCAACATATAGGATACTTTTTACTTTTTAACTGCCTCGGTGGTGTAGTGGCTAGCATGTACGGCTGCACACTCGGAGGTCCTGGGTTCGAGTCCCGGGTCGGGCCAAGTTTAGTTATTGAGTCTTTCTGTATAGTAAGTCTCAGTAACAGCCCGGAGTTGGGAAGTTGGCGGTGTTTCATCCCCGTGCCTCGGAGAGCACGTAAAGCCGCCGGTCCTGCGCCTTAACTCTCACTGGTCGTGGCGAGTAGTCGTCCCACTGGAGTATGAGAGTGACAGGAATAGAGAGTGCCCTTGTGTCTGCGCGTACACTTGTGCACTATAATATCTCCTGCGCAGTTGGCTAGTCTCAATGAGATTGGCCGCCGTAGCCGGAATCGGCTAGGAGAACATCATCATCTCACTTTTTACCGCGGGAAAATATCTCATTTCTGAGAAAAAATACAAAAACTGCATTGTAAGAGTATACTAATATGTAATACTTAAGAATTTGGATTTTTGGTAATCTGAACGCGGGCAATGCTAGTATACTATAATTCGCAATAAGTATCTAACATATTTTTTTAAGATGTGAATTGTATATACCTAGGTGTTTTTAGGTAATCATTGATTAGTCATATGATCATATCACGCAACATGTGATAGTTCATTATATTTTTATATTTCAATTTTATGGTGGCACACTCCCTTACCTCGTAGAGACCATAAAATCATCACGCCGGTCCTGCGCCTGATTTTTCCCGGCCCACGGGCTACCGGTCGAGTCGAATTGTCGTCCGATCGGACTTTGAGAGTGAAAGGAATAGGGTGCATTAAGGTTTGCACACACACTTGTGCAACTGCACTATAATATTATAACCTGCGGCCTGCGCAGTTGCTAATCTAGTGAGATTTGCCGCTACCGTGGTCGAAGTCGATCAGGAACACGTTATAATTATTATATAATAAGAAATTTTATGACTGGAGCATTTTATGTGTTTTAAAGCTACGTTGAGAGCAAATGAGTTCAAATCTTTTAACCTTATAACATAAAAAAAATCCGGACAAGTGCGAGTCGGACTCGCCTACAGAGGGTTCCGTACAAATTTATAGGAAATCTGTTTAACTTTAATTTTCAACTTTTTTTATTTTAGATTTTTTTCTTTATTGGTGCTATAAGACCTTGCTTTTTGCTAAATTTCGTGAATCTAGGTCAACGGGAACTACCATATAGGTTTTCGACCCAAATTCTATAGGGTACTTCCGGTTGACCTAGAATTGTCAATTTTGGTTAAAAGCAAGGTCTTAAAGCACAAGTAAATGTAAAACTCCGAAAAATAAAAAAAGTTGAAAATTAAATTAAAATTTGGTACTTACTAGTTTACGCGATAATATAAATTTGCCCATATCCTAAATAAAACTATCTTTTCGGAATTTTTCGCGAATTTATTTTGATTTTTGGTTCCCGACGTTTCGAATGCTTTACAACATCCATGGTCACGGGAGAGACTGAGGTGTTACATGTCTTGAAGGTATAGTTGTTACAGAGTTGCCCATATCTTTTTATGGTGTTGACTCAGGATTTTGATTTATATACACCTAATAGGGACTATAGACCGCAGTATCTGGTATAAATTCCAACTTGCTAGGTCCGACCGTTCCTGAGAAAATCGGTGGTGACACAACACGGCGACAAACAGACGGACAGGCGGACAAGAGAGTGATCTTATAAGATTTCCTTTTTTTACCTTTTGAGATACGGAACCCTAATAATGATTTCGAAATTTTACACGATTACTCAGTTTTAATGATATTTAGACTAACAGTAAAACACTGCAACCAATATTCTCTCCTCACGAGGGCTCTCTTCATGTCTATAAACAAATGTCTAAAAACAAACAAATATGGACGCGAAACATTTTTAAACACGAAATACTTTTTACTTTTTAGTGTAATTAAAATCGACTTGGTTTTAAATTTTTTTAAGTTTTTATTTTACCAGTTTTAGTGTAAGCACACCTATACTACAAATAGTATTTGCTACAGCAAATGTGTAAAGAGAAAGTAATTTAATAAAAAATCGCTTAGGAAATGTTTTATTTGATTTATTGTGATTGAGATAATTAGCATTAAATTAAGTTAATTAATGGTTGTCATAAACATTTTTGGAACGATTAAACACACTTGGAAATAGGAAGAGAGTAGTTGTTAGATGGGTACCGGAGCATGCAGGCATCACTATAGCAACGGACGTGCCGATTGGCTTGCAAGAGAGGGAGCTCTGTGTATTCTACAGGGACGTGAGCCCTTTGTCTATGTATAAATGTCTAGCTCAAATGACCCTTATGACGGCGTATTTTAAATCTGCAAGTCGGCTCTGGAGGGAATCAACGGGAACTATTAACTCTACGGCATATATTAACGCCTATGACAAAAGGTATAATAAGCTGGTCCTAGCGTTAAATAAGAAACACTAACGCATAATCGTAAGAGCCCTAAAAGAACACTGCTGCTTTAACAAGCACGTCTTCAACTTAAGGCTAAGCGACACAGTTGCCTGCAGAAGATGTACCTATGGAGGCAGAAGAAACGACCCTTCATCTCCTTCCCATCTTTTCCCTTCATCTCATTCTCTATCCCAGAGGAATTTGGACCACTTATGTATTTAGGGAAACACTTTTTAGGCCCAGATGAAATTATGGAGTGTGAAGTATTTGCTAAGGGTCTGAGCAAATCTTGCAATATATTACAGCTACAGGAATGTAGTTTATTCTAATTCAATATGTAGCGATCACTATTGTGACCGGGCATGATCGTAATGATATCATACAGCCGCAACAAAGAAAAAAAACATGACCAAAGTAAAATATACCTATAGCTAAACTACCTATCAATTGTGAATTGGTAATATTTTATAAAGCCCCTAAACCTATGACCTAACACTAAAAATATTCATTCTGACTTAGCTAGGAATTTTATATAAAGACTAACAGTCTAAAAAAATCGCTTTCGCGATCGCTTAATTAGTAACACTAAAAATAAGAGTTTAAAATCCATGTCTTGCAAAATATGCTTGTCAAATCAAACCAAATAAGCCCATACTCAACTAACTTGTCCGAGTTGTTATCACAATTAGGAGTACATAGGTAAAAAATACTTGCTTATTAATATTTGCTAATAAAATCTGTTCACATATTTCAAACTATATATATAGTCCATTCGCGTTAAGAAAATAGTGAGTCATCAATTGCAACGGCAGGTAAATGTGTATACAAGTGAGGGTAAAATTTCAATTCAAATTCAATAATTAATAAGATTAATTTTAATGGATAAAAATCGACTTAATTACCTTAAATCAAAATAAAGTCATCATAATATAATGATAATGAGTTTATTTTGATTTGAGATAGATTATAATTAATGAACATAATTATGTCAAATTGAAATAAAGTCATTAATAATATATTTAAATCTGCCCTCAACTAGTCGTTGTGAACTTAACTTTTATAATTTTAAGCAACCTAATTGGTCGGGGGGCGTGGCTAAGCCGGTGGACACCAATGACTCACTATTTTCTTAACGCGAATAAACTATAGCACCTCGCCCTCGCTTCGCTCGGGTTCGCCTCTAGAAAAACAAAAATAAATCTATCCCTCAGGAACCGTATATTTTTCCGGGATAAAAAGTAGCCTATGTATTATTTCAGAGTATAATCTATCTCTGTGCCAAATTTCATCCAGATCCGTTCAGCCGTTCTGGAAGATAGGAAACTACTA